TGTATTCCATTTGGTGTGTACATGTAGAGCTACCTACACAATAGGAATTCTCTATTCGCCCAAGTTCTGGAGCTTAGCTTCAAGAAATTAGTTGTCTTGAAGAAAACTTGTGTGAATACTGCTCAGTCATGGCCATTTGCTTCATGCCCCTTCCATGCTTGTGGTTATATATCTCAAAATCACTTCCACTCTCTGTCAAAGTAGACAAAAGGGAAGAGGCCCATACAGAGTAATGTCGCAGGTTGCTTAGTTACCATACTTCAAATTCTGAATGTGACAATAATTAGATTTGTGAATGTTTTTTTTTTAGGGGGCAGGGGGGTAAGTAGGGGATGGGTAGGGGTTTATTGATCCAGGTTTCTTGAATTATCCCATTAAATCTTCTTCCAGTATCCATACTTGAAATTATGACTGTGACAATAGTTAGAACTGTGAATGTTCTTCTATTTTTTTTTTGGGGGGGGGGAGGGGGAGGGGGAGGGGGTATGTAGGGTTTGGGTAGGGGTTTATTGTAACTTTATTGTCTCAGAAATCTTCTTCTGGTTGTACTTTAGTACGAGATTAGTGAGTTTATGTATGAAACATTTGTGCAATTTCTTTTGAAATCTGAGCACAGATTTGAACAAAGCAACACTTATCAACATGTTGCATGGAATCCCTTGCAGGAAATCGAATATCAAGTCAATTGATAGCATTCTCATAATTAGTCCATGCTTATCAGACCTATGTGCTACAAGGGCATGTCAATACTAACTCTTGGGTGTACTTGGGTGTAAGCAAAGCACAAAACATGATTTTCAATTTGTTTTGTAATGTATGCTGAATGGTTCACGGCGAGGCAAATAGTTCAGATAGAGGTCGACTCAATCGCTTACGTTTTGATCATAGCAGGTTCGGTTGTGATTAATGATTGGGCCTTGTCTAATTGGGATAAGGCTGTCAAGATATCTGTGCCTCCGCCTCCCAAGGTGATCAAAAAAGAAATTTGGTTTTCTTTTGTAATGCTGTTCGACAAGGGAATCAACAGTGCATGACTTTAAGAGTGGATTACATGTTTTATTTATTGTGTGTTAATGTAGACAGATCGTGCTGTAAAGTGTTAATGTATTGCTCAATAAAGTCACAATTTATATTGAGTGATTCAATGATTGAAGGCTCTCTTTTTATCACTGTCAAGCAGAGAGAAGAGAGACAGAGATTAAGAGACAACAAGAACAAAGAGTAACAGTAAGAGGGTAAGAAAGAGAATAAGAGAGTAAGAAAGGGAATAAGAGAAATAGAATGTTAAGAAGAGAAATAAAAAGAGTAGAAGATTACTGGGGGAGGGGGGGTACTTCATTTCGAAACAGTGATATTCAATTTAATGAACACACAAATAGTAAGTCTATCAGAATGACATTTTCCCTTGAGATATGTCTATCAAAGCTCTATGTAATTTCATTCAATATCAGTGATTATCATTAGGAGACAAACTTTTGAAAAGTAATTTAATTATTTTCATATCTTGAAGAGAAATTTTGATGCAGTGATGCTAGATTTACCCAAGGAGTTATAAGAGTTCTCATAACTCCTTCATTTACCTCCTCAGGCAGGGCCCTGTCTTATAAAGAGTTGTCATTGATTCAAATCGATCACAACTATCTTTAAAACTACACAGTTTCAATTAATTTTGAGTTGCGATTGATTTGATTTGAATCAATTGTAGCTCTTTATACTACAGGGCTCAGGTCTCCATTTTAAACGGCATTAAACATACATAAAGATGAAGGGTTCTATGACCAGTGATCATACATGTTACCAATGTTCACTACAAATGATTCCCTCCATCCCCGTATGTAAGCAAACCTATTTCTTCTTGCCCTACTTACATCACTTTACAACTAGCAATCGTTATCGCTCTGAAGCCAAAATAGCCTCTCTCTGCAAATAGTACTGATGAGAAAGGAAGTGGTATCTAATCTGTTGACAATTTGCTTGGCTATTTGGGAGGGCATCGATACTCAGAGAGAAAGAGAAACCTCAATCGGATGCTGATGTGCATCCAAGAGTCTCTCGGAGTAACGGGTCACCCTGGGGAATGATGGGAAGGGATAAGATGTCATGAGACATTTATAGTGCCTGTCCCATCTCTCGTTATCCACAGATAAAAAAATTGTATTTGATAGTTATGGCTGAAAACTAGGCATAAAAAAGATTTTGCTTTAGAATTCACCTGGATGGGATTATTCCATTCCAAGGGTAATTACATATTTGGGGCGCTCAAAAGTAACCTTTGTCTTTGAATGGCTTACTCTGATATTCTGAACAATGGTGTTGCTATGCTGCGATTCTTTCAAGGATTTAGCCTGAATATTTGTAATCCTATTCTGCTTTTAGATTGAATGTTACTTTATACTTAATACTTTATTTCAACAAACTTCATTACAAATTATTCTATCTGCTGTAGTAAGTATGTTTTGATTCATATTCACCAAGACCCATATTCTCCTTCATTTTCCACCAACTTAGTGTTTGTGATGATTAATAAGAAAACCCCAACACCATAATTGTCTTTAAATATCAAGATGATGTTTATCTTCACAAAACTGATGAGATCTTGATTTATTTTGAGGGCAATTCTAGTCACTTTACTTCCTGCTGATTAAGTATTTCTAGCACTTCTAGAGATGTGTGTTATTTAACAAGAAAGTCTTATCAAATGGGTTAAGAGCTGTTTAGTAGATGATTTTTTTTATCTCAAGTAGTCTATCAGGTGTTGTAAAAACTATATTTTGCAGCAATAAAGAATATACCCTCCTTGAACTTCGAAACGCTCTTTTGTTTTGTGATCCATCGTCAAGTAGGGCGTGCTCTCTACCAGATGACGAGAATTTGAAGTCCAAATTCCAAAGGTCTAAATTTTAAAATCGTGAGCAGAATAAAGGCTTGCCTTTTATACTCACCATGCACAACATAACCAAAGATGTTTCTACCGATGTCAAACTGAATGTCTGATTTTTTGCTCTTTGGTGGGGGAATTATTCCTGGATTTTCTTGAATTGCTTCGGAATGAAACTGGAGAGGTTATCTAGAGCTGTAGACCGCTTGTTTGAGCGATTAAGAATCGCAGTGCTTAAGAAATTCTACCCTGCTATCAATAGGTAGGTGATGGACAAGTTGGACTGGTTTCATGCTCAATGTTGAGAAAAGTTTCCCTTATGGAGGGAAGCGTTGTAGCTGTGTTTACTTTTTGTGTTTTCTTATCTCTGCTGTCTGCTTTCCTGAAAAACTCTGTGCATGTTCCATGTATACATGATTAAGATATTTAGGAAGAAATTCAGAAAAAAATTGGCTTGATTTGGTCGTGAAAGAATGTAACTTTAATATGTTCAATGTTCAGTATTCAATAGAACAATAAGGCATGAAATAATCTGACATTTCCTCCAGCAACAGTTGATCTGGGCTTCATTTTGTACACGATTAGGATTAGGCTTTGTGATTGAATTTTAGGTTAAGCTTAGGCTTAGAGTTAGGTATAATGTTTCATGCAGGGTTGATGTTGGTAATTCAGTTATCGTATGATATTGGCCACAGTGCATTTGTCATCAGAGCATGTGTTGTAGGTGTGTTGTAAAAATCAAAATAGGGACCAACCATGTGATCAGAGAAAATGCCCATGTGAAGCTGAAAGGGGATTGTCGATGAATAAACCAGTTTACTCACATATTCAAATGTTAAACATACTTTGAAACGAAGGTTGATCTTGATAACCTGAAGGCTTGCCCGAGGCTCACCCAACATATCAACAAATAATGTATGCACTATGCAGACTGGATTCCGTATTGTAGTTCATTTATTAATAACAGGTTAATGGAATACCTCGACACTAGGTCCCCAGAAAAGAAACATCCTTAAATGTAATAGTTAATGTTCGTAAACGGTCTATTAAGGAGACTCCACTTAGTTAGGACTTAAAGCCATTTAAGCCTTTTCTCTTGACGGGAAGGCTTGCAACATGCCCTTTACAATTCATACAAGTGTTGCAAACCTTAATCATGGATAATTGTTTGTAAATCTTGCATGTCCTACCCTCGATGCAATTTTCCTCCAAATTTGGGTCTGACATGAGTCCTGTCCTGTACCACCTGAGGGTAAAATCCCTGTAGTTTAATTAGTGTAAATGTCAAGTACTCCTTCATCCTTCATAAGACCGGTACTTCTTCCTTGAAGCAATGAATGAAGTACATCCCTCCTCAACCTATCCGTTCTGTGGCATTTGATTATTGTTGGGGAAAGTGATGTAAATATTTACGTCAGCCCAGTCTGGATGTTCCAACAGACCTGTCAATAATCGCTCACTGTCAAAATCGCTCTTTTCATCATGTATGATAGGAACCTCAGGAGTGAATGAAATGCCTGCATGAATGCTGCAGCGGCAGTGAACAGAAATTGCATGATTTGTGTTGTTAGTAGAGGCTTCATTTGACTGACTGTGTCAGGAAATCGAAATTATATATATAATTGAAATGAGAAATTGCAGTACTGGACAACAAGGCATACTGCCTTTCTGTTTTGAACAATTAATGTGTGTATGGAATGCCATTTGTCAATGATGAACATATACATGTACATGTAGAATCTTTCTCAGCTACACATATATAAGCTTTGAAATATCATTGTATTTGAATACTAAGATCATTGCAGTTTCCTATTTGGAAATTCATTATGATTATCAAGACCACATGTAAACATTTCATGGTATCCTACAATGTACATCTATAGGGAAGTAAATTTGTATCCCTCTTCATCCCACCCCCACCAAACACTACCTTCCCTTTTGTTTGGGAACACTCATTATATACTCACACCTGTATGATTTGCAATAATTTCAGGGAAAAGAAATATACATTATAACCACATGGTCAATGTTCAGATATCTACATCATATATGTGAATTTAAAAAATAAGGTATACCAATGGATCTTCAATTTTATAAAATCTTCTTTCCTTATTTCTTGCAGTGCCCATAGCAACAAGCCTCCACCCAAGGTATCGGTAGACTCTGAGGATGAGGATGATGAGGAGCAGGAAGAGGGGCAGGAGGGGGAGGAGCAAGGAGCCTATGGATCTGATGAAGATGAGCAGGAGGATCCTCAAGACTACTGCAAAGGTGGGTGCTTTTTTTTCTTCAGAACTGTCACGTCATCGTCGTCATGTTTCATTTATTTCATTTATTTATTTCACTCTCTTTTAAAAAACATAAAAATATATACATGTTTGTTCATTATCAACATAAGATATAAGGAAGTGGGAGTGAAGTGGAGAATGATCCCTAAATAAATACTAAGCATAAACAAGATAAAAACTTATTTTATATAAAAAACATAGTACAAAGTACATTCACAACAACAGAGGGGAGAGGAAAGATAAAGATAACATATCGTAAAGACAGTCACAGGAAGATAAGAAAAGAGAGAAGATAAGAAGAAGGAAGTTACAACTTGAATTTTACGATCTACATAGTAAATGACAAATTCATTTTGTTCTGCTAAAATAAACCCTTATACATATAATATTTGATACTGTCTCTTTGCTGAAAGCCATTAGGTCTTTGCTCTGATGATACAAGTTAATGGAGCACACAGCAAGAGACAGTATGTTCAGTATAGAATTGCGTGCCAAGAATTATCATGCACAGTCTGAACTTTGCACTTTTTTTAGTCCAAGCAGCTTCTTCATGGAAATTTATGTAAAAAGGTTCACATTTCTTCTGGGATATGTTTTCAAGAGCTGTCTTTAAGCTTCCAAGAAGTCTCATTGAGCTTCCAAAAGTGTAATCGATCTCTGCTTTATGTAGTTTGAGGTGTTGCAACAAACTTGCAATATATACATTACATGGCCGAACCAAAAACCATCTCCTTAACTCTCACTTTGTCAAATATTAACCTGCCTCCATCATTTCTTCAATTGAATCCTACAGTTTCAACAAAAACAGACTGTTTGAAAACCATGCTTGCTTTAATGCTTTCCAGTAAATTCCTCTAAGGATGTTAAGAATTGGATCATTCCAAGAATCTAAGTTATTGATGTGATGTTTTTGGACCGCATCCAAGCAGTAATAGAATGTCTAGAGGCAGGAGAAAGTTTGAGAGAGGATATGGATCACCTGTCCGGTCCCTAAAATACAAGATCAATCGTGGAAACCGTCGATTTGACGAGGTTGTTATGAATCTTATCTCAAATTTTTCTTGGATAACGAGTTTTTATCTTATCTTTGTTAAACCAAACTTACATACAGTTATGAGCATCCAACAAACTGACGAAGCATAATTTGGAAATAAAAATTAAAGAAACATTTGATTTGAAATTAAAAATATTAAAATTTAAAGATAACATTTTGGAAATTGAAAGAGTTTGCAATAATTTGTTTTCATGTCTGGGAGCCCTTTTTTAATATTCATAGATATTCATGAGGTACATGGTTTTGTGGCTCAGTGAGTGGAGAGATGGCCTTAGAAACTGGTGACACGGGTTCTAGACCAACTTGATGCTCTAGTTACCTTGCAGTAGAGATAACTTTGTCCTATTTATAGGATGTAAATGACAAACTTCTCTAGAGTTTCCTTTCAGTTGACCTGACATACACTACAGCAACATTTGATATGTGACTTATTTGTCAAACATATAGCATAGAGGTAGGATTTCAATAAGGATTTAGGTATATGTTGGGTTAGGGTTAGGTATGGTGTTTTGTCAAAGTTTGAAGTTGGGACCTTGGTTAGTTTAGATTGACTTTAGAAAAATCTATATCTTCTTAGCAATTGAATGTGAATAATCAGTGTGCTTGTTTGAATATTGTATGTAGGCCTTGGGAAGGCAATGCCCTGGGATCAGACCTGACCTGATAATACAGCTGACCTGGGGATTAACTTTGCTTACCTGGGAATTAATGTATGCCTCTGGCTGAAATTGGAACCCATTTGTTGTGGTCATGGAATGAGGTTTTGAACTTGCATATATATATATATATATATATATATACATTTATATACTGTATGGACCAAGGTAATATGGTATGGAATCTGGGGTTTTAATTGAACCCAAATTATAATTGCTTTATGGCATATGATTGAACATGTAGCCCCCCCCCCCCCCCGCCCTCCCCATCTCCTTGCATTCTGCGCTGAACTACACCCTATGAAAAACGTACTTTAAAACAAGTTAAAGCTTTTATGACCCAGGGTTGTTCTTATGCCCTCAGAATAGGGTGTGAACCCAAAAGGTTTGTGCCCGAGGTTTGAACTCCTTCATGCTCACAGGACATGGTATGAACTGAAGTGATGTGCCGCAAGTGTAAACATAGCTTCGTGACTGTGTCTTTATCCATTATGTCTTAAGCATGAACTGGAAGCCCACCTGTTTCTTGTTTATCATTTGTAATTTTTCATTTTCAAGAAAGTGTCAAGAAAGTATCAAAATGTCACCTCCTCAACAGATGCCAAAATGATGGCATTTAACCCAATTTATATAACATCAATAATTATAACAATAATGTTGCACACATCCTTGAGGATGTTTAAGTCACCTACAAAGTATTGTTAATAACCTGGCTCTAGTCCGGCTGCCCTGAGGCACTCCCCAAGCATTCAAGGTACCCATGAACTACACCTGGGTGGAGAGTGGCAAAAGACGTTAGTGCAGTGGCGGGCCTCGACCACGAACCATGGGATTCGCAGTCCGGTGACATACGTATCCACTAGACCTCTCATCTTGGATGTATTCCGTAAAAAAAAAAGATGTGAACTCTAAGGCTGCGACGGGTAGTCGAATGCTCGAGTACCCGCACGGTTGACAACTACTCGGGTTCGATTTCTCGTACCCGAATATTCGGCCGCAAAAAAAAAATAAAAAAAAAAATAAAAAATGTCCAGGCCCACGCTTACCCGTGCCAGGGAGAGCGGCGTCCCCTGGCATGGTACCGTCGGTAAAAATGTTTCTCAACTCAAGCACTGTCAAACTCACCTTTCAGAAACTGGGACCAAATGTCCAGATTTCTGTTTGGACTTGGAGGAAAATGGAGGATTATTCTGCCATCTTTGGTTTTTAAAACAGCATTGTTTACTGTTATTATTCTTATTAAATCGGCGCCTTCAACTGCTACTCAAAGTAATATTGCATGCGTTTTTGGCGAGGGACCTGGGAAACTGCCGAGTGGTATGGTAGTGGCAAAAAAAAAAAAAATCATTTTTTTAAATCCAAACAAATTCAAAAAAAAGATTATTAAAAAACATGGCGTCTGAATATTTGAGTATTCGCTTGTGAGCCTGGGAGTGTACTCGGGTACCTCATTACACTGTTGTGCACAGCCTTAGTGAACTCTTTCCTGAACTGATGTTGGCATCATGAAAATCGTTGGATCAACTAAATCCTGTTTTTTGTTTTATTATTTGTACTTCTCCCTCTTCTATGAAGTAGTAGGATAAACGCACCCTCTTTCTTACAAATGGAAGAATGATTGTATTTGACCCCTCTGTGAGTGTGATGCCCTCTATACGCATGAAACATGAACTGGAGACATACGATCCTTGGGGTAAACATGGTCACATGAATGTGATTGAATCAGCCACATGGAGATCAGGGATGGAAGCCCACCTGTTACGCTATGCGTTATTTCTCATTCTCCCTTGTAAATAAAGTTGTAGGAATATGTCGTCTACAGACTAACCCTGAAGAAATGATGGTATTTGACCTGTCTGTGACGTGTCTGTGACTTCCAATTTCTACCGGTACTTGAATGTTGTGACTTCTCAATTCAACTAAATGTCAGCAGTTCCCTACAGAATTCCTTAGGGTACACAGAACTGGTGTGGGAATCACTTTTTATTTTAGACTTTCCAGTGAACTATGACATGTAGTGGCAACTGTTGTGCTTGACAAATACTTGAAAAAGTAACCTGCAGTTTGATAATGATGCTAATTTGAATATTATGTAAATGATATTCTAAATAGTTGACTGAGTTATCAATAGGAATCGTGATATATTACAGGTTGTTAGAGCCTGCAAAATGTAAACGGACTTACCAATATTTACCTGACAATCACTCCTACTGAACAAGACAAGTTTATTATTGACACAGGGCACAGTTTGCATGTTAGTTAAGTTAGTACTTTCATCCTCAACTTTCAAATTTCTGTCACTCAGATCACTCAGACGTAAAATTTCTATCACAAGCATTTTGCAAAATTGGCAGGTATGATTTTGCACTTTTAACTTTCATGGCAACATTGATTTTGGGAGAAATTTCCTTTTTGCCATTTCTCACCATCAGAATTTAAGTATCTCCTTTCTCCTTTCAAGAAGAAAGCTAAATGTCAGAGCGATCGGATGATGCAAGCTGGAGAGGAGGAAAACTGTTCTCAAACCAAAATTTGTTCTCCCCTTTTGGTTGGACACGATGTATTGGGAAGTGTTTCTATACGGACTGGGGCTATCGGTTGTGTTGAGTGTCGGTTATTAAAGTGTATAGAGACATAGTAAAGTGGACTTGCTAGGATCTGTGACGGCGGCGGGCCTCTAGTGGGAGGGAACCTCTAAATTGTAATTGGAGTATAGTGATAGCTTCAGGTCATGTTCATGTATAATGGAAGAGGGGACGGTGTAAGGGATGCTGGTTGTTACTATTGGAGGTATTTAAGTCTAGATATCTTTCTATTCACACACATACACACACAGTGGTGAGAAGATTTCCGGTACCTGTAGCTGTTTTGCACATTACAATAGGGAGGCTTACCTTCAAGTGACGCATTAAAGGGGCAATTTAATAAAAATCTTAAGTAGGAGAAAAACATTTTGATGTAAATCTCCATGTATAAGACGCACCTTTATTCCACCAGAAATATTTGAAAGTCGGGGGTTTGCTTATGCACAGGCACAAGACATTTTGAGTCCTCAATGGTGGTGTACGACCATCTCTGTATCTCAACATAAATTACAAAATGCAAATATAAAGAATACTAGTTGAAGTTAACCTATGTTCCTAATTTGAAGGGAAGAGATTTGTTTTGATTTGTTTTTAATTATTCTTTATAGTGTAAAATAGTTGAAACAACTCCCCCTTCCCACCAACAAAAACCACAAAAAAAATTGAGCTCACTGACACAGTCTGTATGCTGTATTAATAAAGAGAATAACAATATATTGAGATGAGATGTCTTCATCAACATCAGCCCGCAGGTGAAACAAGAGTCCGTGGTCTTCATCCCAAGATGGACTTTTTTTTGCAGGTGGTCACTGGACAGGTGTTGGTAGAAAAGACGAAAGTGTATGAAACCATTTTTCTGGAAACATACTTACACTTTGCCCATGTGCACCGTGGATGTGACGTTGTCGTAAGCCGTAGAGCTGTGACGCAATCAATCTAAATACGATAGGCCTACTAGCCGGGGGAGGCATTAGGCTTAGGCATTTTGGAAAATCCCACCGCGATGCAGACGATGCATTATGCAGAGATTGGATGATGGGGAGGAATAGCGAGAGAAACATCCATTTAGCCGTAAATGCTGTCTGCTCCCAGCAGATAGTCGTGCGGAATTGGGCTGGATTTGTGATTGTTTAGCCGGCACTAGTCCAATCTACTCTCTTCATTAGGAGAGCATCAGCCTGGATTCCCTGTGATTTGAGGGATGGCAACGAAGCCTGAGGTGTGCATGTTCACTTCCATGTTGCTCTAGCCCAGATGTAAAGAGATATGGCACTTATGACAGGTTTCGCTACATTTGGAGCCATGTTAATTTTAATTAAAGAGCCTGAATTTGATTTTAATGAGATTCTGAATAATACGTTTTTAATCATTCCATGCCAAGGAGATTTTGAGGATCAAATATGTAGATTTTTGTCCTTGAATTGTAATCATGATATCATTTTGTAGATCTTTCCTATGGGATAGTTTATGTAACTCACTTGATCCAGGATTATTCAGTCTTTAGACTGTTGTTCCTATCCATGGTTTCCTTTGGTTGGGGTTGTCATCGAATTTATCTGGGGCATCTTTCCACCATTTCTCAAGTCCATATTTGAAGCACTTGACAGTGGTACTCTCCACAACATCGCCTGGAAGACCATTCTACACATTGATTATTCTCTGGCTGAATGAGTTTTTCTTTAGTGTCTTCCGGCATTTTAGCTTGTAAAGCTTGTGAATATTCATGTAGTTTGCATGAATATTATTGCAACATGTTCAGAGAATATGGCAGAATGATTGAAATGTGGACATCAATCGCACTTTGAAATTAATCGCAACTTAACAGTTGCAGTTACTTTCAAGTTGCGATCACTTCAAATCAATTGCAGCACTTTATTTTGAAACCAAGGTCAGCAATAATGTGTTATGCTGATCAATATATAATATTTCTATTGGAAATAAATCTTTGACCAAATTTTGATCACCCCATGTATAATACCCAATATTCAAGTGCTTTTTATCTACCCTTCTTTCACCCTCCCCCAAATTCTTATCATAATTCAGACTGTACTGCTTGAATCACCATTGCAGGATAAAATTATTGTTAATTTCATTACACTCTGTTATGTTATAAATGCACGACAACCCTTAGACAATCATTTGAGGGGGCTCTTGTGATGTAGTGTGGCTCTTTTTTGTAATATAAAGTTTTAGGGGCAGTTTACTTTTTGTTCACATCTATTTTTGTCATTGAGTCACTCGAATGTTGAAATTTACATATAGATCAACCGCGACTGCAAACATTCAATTTCAACCACATTTGACATTTGTGAAGTCTTGTCATTATGGTAATCAAGCAGACAAGAAAAGGTTGGAAACTTTTGGAAAAACACAAGACTGTTTAAATCTTAAGCTAAGTGCAGTACATCTGCGGAACTAAAGCTTATTCAAGAGATGACCTTCGGCGGCAATCAGGCATGCATATATTATATGTCTGATAAAAATCACTGTTTCACTTGAAGTTGTACATCCATTTGTACGACAATGATGATTGAAAAAAAAAGTATCACCCAAAATGGATTAGTGGAATGGGTAATTGTTTTTTTGTTGTTGTTATAGCTAGAAGGAAGTTTTGTTTAGTACTAGAAAGACAAATGTTATTAAACAATTCTTTTTTTTCTTCTTCTTCGCAGTCGATCATCTGCTAGAATTCTTGTATTTGTTTTTCTTTTCTTATTTGTAATAAATCTAGAAATAGAATAATATGCTCATGAATTCATAATTTGTATTTTGCAGCTTTCTCAATAAAAGTATAAAATGCAAAAAATATGAAAAGTGATAGATTTAATGAAAATATGAATTACACGACAGGGTATGCGATAAAATGAAATGATTTTATCTTGTTCAACATTCTTTTTTATGCCTCCGCCACCGAAGGTGGTGCCGGAGGCATCATGTTTTCGGGTTGTCCGTCCGTACGTCCGTACGTCCTTACGTCCGTCCGTACGTCCGTCCCGTTTGACCGTTATCACAATATCTCAAGAACCATTTAAGATTTAAACTTAAGACTCGGGAATAGTATTTATCACCATAGGAAGACGATCTGATTAGATTTTGGAGTACGTAGGTCAAAGGTCACAGGTCACAGAGGTCAACTTATGAAATTCCTTGTATTGAGTTTGTTAGCGCGATATCTCAAGAACCATTTGAGATTTAAACTTCAAACTTAAGGATAGTATGTATCACCATAGGAAGACAATCTGATTAGATTTTGGAGCACGTATGTCAAAGGTCAAGGGTCACAGAGGTCAACTTATGAAATTCCATACATTGAGATTGTTATCATGATATCTCAAGAACCACTGGAGATTTAAACTTCAAACTTAGTGATAGTGTGTATCACTATAGGAAAACAATCTGATTACATTTTGGAGCACGTAGGTCAAAGGTCAAGGGTCATAGAGGTCAACTTATGAAATTCCATACATTGAGATTGTTATCATATCTCAAGAACCACTGGAGATGTAAAAACTTCAAACTTAAGGATAGTATGTATCACCATAGGAAGATGATCTGATAAGATTTTGGAGCACGTAGGTCAAAGGTCAAGGGTCACAGAGGTCAACTTATGAAATTCCATACATTGAGATTGTTATCATAATATCTCAAGAACCACTGGAGATTTAAACTTCAAACTTAATGATAGTGTGTATCACCATAGGAAGACAATCTGATTAGATTTTGGAGCACGTAGGTCAAAGGTCAAGGGTCACAGAGGTCAACTTATGAAATTCCATACATTGAGATTGTTATCATGATATCTCAAGAACCACTGGAGATTTAAACTCCAAACTTGTTTAAATTGCTCTATGGCGGAGGCATCATTTTCGACTGCGCGCAGTCATAATTCCATCTAGTTTTAATTTGTAGATGGTTTACCATGTAGTTGAGATATTTGATTGAAGTTCTTTAATCCAAACTGACTTGCTTTTAAGATGGCATCATAAATCAGTAAAAGTGAGATGATTAATTTCCTGTTTCTCCTTTCTCTTCCTTTTTTCCCCATTTATAGGAGGCTATCATCCTGTGAAGATCTTTGATCTGTTTAATGGGAAGTACCACGTGGTTCGTAAGCTAGGATGGGGGCACTTCTCCACCGTATGGCTGGCGTGGGATCTCACGTAAGTTCCGTCTTATGACTTTTAAAGATAAAGTGGAGTTCTGGTCATACAAATTTAATACTGAAGCAACTGTGGAAGGTTGATTATCTTGTACTTTGAGAGTTGATGTATATGGTTGGAATAATCCCCCCCCCCCCCCCCCCAAAAAAAAAAAAATGTATACCGTATATATAAATAAAACAAAATAGCCCAGTCCTGCTAAATATCACATGAACTGAAAGGGACTATATGTGGATATGGCATGAAAGCTTGGTCCAAAATATCTTAGCGATTTTTCTTCATATTTTGAGTACGAGAGTGCATTTGACATTAAAACAATCTGAACGGCACATGATTTTGATTTAATTCATTCAGTTATAAAATGTCACGCATATTCTTTTCAATGCAAAACAATTTCTTCACATCTCCTGTATTCCCTTTGTAATGCTTCCATGTACATTTAAAATCGTATAATGTTTTGGAACAACATACCTGAACTTAGGGGTGCATTTAAAGGTAAAGACCAGTATTGGTAACGCCCCAATTTCAAAAAATGAAATGGAAGCTCTCATTACCAATCATGTGAAAGAATATGTTTTGACTAATACATGATGATAAAAAATTTGCCGGGAAACCGCCTACTAATTCATATATTTGGTAAATTTATTTCTCTCATGGTCGTGTGAGAGAGATAGGGTAGTCCCATATACATCTTTCTGTGTATAGTGCTTGTAACTTTACGAAGAATGGGCCAAATTTCTTATCATTTTGATGATTCCAGAACCTTGCAGATGCTAGATGCTAGATGATCAACCTTTTCTGATCGATTCCACAACGTTTCTTTCACAATGCAATCGCATGACCATTACTGGTCTTTACCTTTAAGGTGCAAAAAGGGGACTCCCTGCTGTGTATGTTTGTACAAGGCTACACGCTCAAGGCCTAAAAGCTTTCTGTTTAATACATGGTACATGGTGGAATGCATGAAGGTGTATTTTGAAATAAATGAGGAAGGGGGGGGGGGCACTGCAGTAGTGTTTTATTGCAAGGTCCAGAGAGTATTTCCCACTATTATGATTAGCACATGCTGAAATCATACAAAGCAAAATTATATAATTTTTGGAGATATTTTTGTCTTCAGCTTCAGCTGTATGAAGTGCAAGACAGTGACTTGTCATTTACTCTGGGCTTTCATATGCCAGAGATACAGCTTTAGGGTTAAGTATTATATTTGGTATTATACATTGTTTCAGTGATTGACATGCTCAGTCAGATATTAAAAGAACATCCGCCATTGTTCTGTTTGAATCATGGAATATTGTGATTGCTGTCTTGCACACAATGCATTCCTTTTCAATTAATCATAACTTTCGAAGAAAATGTACGTGTATGTTTGCATATCAACAACTTCATAGCTTTACTAAAGCTCAAAATTCTTTTATTTCTTCTTCCCTCAAAAAGAAATGTAAATGAACCAAAGGTTACTGACGTATGTAGTCTTCTAATGCAGACTATGCTTTGTTTAATTTTATTCGAAGAATTTACCTTACAAAACCAAGAATGAGATCAGAGGCACAAATTTATGACAGATAATGAGGGGGGAAAAAATCCTGTTCAACTTCTGTTATTACAGAGTTATTTTGTTCATGTGTGTACAAAATACAAACTAAAGATAGTCTAAATACTAGACACACTGTTTTCTAGCTTGGATTAGAAACCAAAAAACAATGTGTCTTAAAGGTAACTGTACGATGTCTGGATGCTAAGCCTATACATTTATATGCAGAGAGTATTCTTGATTTAGCATCAAGGTGGCATCGGTCTTGTTGACATGCTAGCTGGGAACGTGAACCTGACATACGAAAGGAATACCTCTGTGCAAATATTGTCATCTTGGTCCTACGCCAGCACCATTCCTGTTAGCACACGAATAGACACACACAGCCAAATAGCTGGATAGAGTGGTGCATTACGTTGCATAGCGTTAGAATCATAGCACCACTCGAGAGCACTTTAAAATGCGGGGAATTAGAGCGCGCTTAAAAGTAAAACAAAGCTTTATGCAGATTGGACTTTATTCTGTCAATAGAGACTCCCAAAAGGTGTTTTAATGGAAAGATATCTGTTGTGTAAACTGAAGAGATGCGCAGTTTCTGTTTAATGCGTTTTTTATATTTTCAGCTCCGTGACTTCTGCATTAATGGAGGGGGGGGGGGGGGAAATCTCTTGAATATGTCACACAAAAAAAAGCAAATTTCCCTCAAATTTTGGTATTTATGTTTTGTTGCAGTGCTGGTCAGGCAACATGAAAAATGAAAACAAGCATTAATTGAAAAATAGCCATTGATTCGTATCTTTTCGAGGTAGAAATTTTAAAAAGAGCTCAATTGATTGATGGAACTAAACAGAAAAATAAGCTGGGCTGTGATTATGTGATATTCAAGTTATTATTTCATATAAGATCTGGATTACAAAGTAAAATCATTATAAGATCTGTCTTTATCAGTTCGAGTTTGCCAAGTAGTAATTTAACTATCCCGATCTCAAATTTGCCAGTTAATTTACGTCTTCATCAGCCCGCAGTTGCAATTAGCAGGATATTTGGTCGAGAATATATTCCAAGAAATTTGGGAAATTTGGGAAAATTTGGGAAATAGCAGGCTAATTTGCGCCCGTCCGAGCTAATTTGTGATGTGCCAATCGACCTGGTGGAGACGCAATTTAGAGCTTCAGGACAATATCCTGAGTCTGAAAATAGCGGGTTATTTAGCAAACTGGAGCTAATGAGGACAGGCCTAATAGATCCTTTTTATTATCCTGACATTGACATCAGTCATATTTGAAATGTTTTTGTTCTGTAGGTCTACGTATATTGACATCTGTTGTGTTTTTATTTTTTAGACTTCTAATCTGACTGATTTGTTGTTTATTTGTTTGCAGGGGAAGGAGATACGTTGCTCTTAAAGTGGTGAAGAGTGCAGAACACTATACAGAGACTGCTCTAGATGAGATCAAACTTCTCAAATGTGTAAGTAAAACAGATGCCCAATCAATCTGATTTCACCTGTATAAGGACCTTTTTTCCTCCTCTTATTACTGTAAAACCAGTATTAAAACACTCAAGGCTACCATTCTAAGACTAGAGTTATTTTTTTTAGTAGACTTCCTTAATTTACTGCATAAAAGCTCACTGTTACCGTAGACATTCTATTGAATATTTTGTATGGTTTGGGGTGTTTTTTTATGCCTTCTAACCATTACCAAGTTCAATTTTACTATAATTATAATTTTTATTTTATTCTGTATTTTATTTTTGTGTGTGATTGGTTCCTCATTAAAAAGAGACCCTAGGTAGACACTTGCTCCTATTCTTGTTTACACCCAAAGTAGTTCTTAACCCATGTGTGGATGTAAACAACCTCTCATGGTACAAGGACAAGGGAGAGATACATGTGGAATTCCACAAGATATATTATTGTCCTGATGTTGAACCCATTGGTTCATCGCTTCATTCATTCATTCGTGTCAGTGCACCGAGTCGAGAATGCTAGCACAGAATCAGAAATCATTGACCTGTACTCTACTCAAATCTTAACAATCTTAACAAAGGAAGATAGTCTGATGTCGAAGTTTTTGATTTGATTCATGCCATTTTTAGTTCCAGAGTCATGTTTGACTGGATTCGTTTAAAAGAGACCTTTGTGTCTGGACAATATTACGGATATATCAAAATCTTGGAATGTGGGATCAGTGAAACAAATGAAACCTACTTTGGAGAATATCAGTTTACAATGGAGATTTCGTTGTTGTTTTTGTAACGGATACTGGCAGTTTGTGGGCATTGAAATGTAAACACAAATGTGTCAATGTGGAAGACAGAGCTGCCAAGTAGTACGTTTTTAACGTATTAATACGTTTTTTGGGGGTAAAATACGTTTGTACGTTTTGCTGTGCTAAAATACGTTTTTCGAAAGTTTCGAGTATGGCTGTGCAAACGTGGCTGGCTGTGAGAACAAGCGTATGCAGAGTTGTGCTATTGCTTTGTATTGGCGATTCCTGCGGCGCGCACGCATCCGCATTGCACACAACACAGGGGATGTACACCACTCAAAGACGTGCACATTTCCCCAGTCCATGCATACTGTACGGTACATGTACCGAGTATCGAGCCAGCGAATCCAATTGCCATATCCTTAACACACGCAAAATACATACCAATGCATTATTACACACATTATCACTCGCTAACTAGTAGTACAAGAAAGTCCCGTTGTCACTTCCAAAAATCCATCCTAAAAGCCAAATTTTGCCGTCAAAAATGCGGAATCAGAGCCATATTTCCAAAGCATGCGGGGGCTTAGCCCAGTTTTAAGAAAAAGTTTCTCCAAAAAAGCGCTAAAAATCAAGAAATCAGTGATTTTATTACAATTTTTTTCGATTATCGCAAGCCCTTCGAATGTGATGGTATCTTCAAAAAGTCAAATGAAAAACAAACACCGGACCCTGCTGATGCATTGACTTTGTGTACAAATTGATTCGACCCTCATATTCATTGACTTAGCATATTATTTTCAAATTTTCTAAAATTCTGTGATGTTTTTAAATTATTAAATTTTCCGATAAAATAGGTAAATATATTTAACATATATTTTTAAAAGTACAATTTTTTTTTCCTTGAAAATGTATTTTTTTAAAACTTTTTTTTTTTTAATTTGATAGGTCGGCAGCTGTCAATGATTGAACACATTTTTAATCAAAGAAACATAGTTGCAATAGTATTTTACAGGGAAAATAACGAAAAAAAAATTAAAAACAGGCAAAATATGTTTTTTCACCTAAAAATATACTTTTTCAAGCTGAATAATATGTTTTTTGAGAATGACAGGTTGGCAGCTCTGGGAAGAAAGCAAACATGAACAATAATGCTCAAAAGTCCCAAGGTCATTGTTATTATCTTTCAAATAAGGGAAAAGGTATAACCATTTAGAAAAAAAATCCCAGTATTGAAAAATATGATTGGAGCTTTATGCAAGTATAAAGGATGTAAATGTAACAGTGTATGGCAATGCTTTCATCAATTTTAAAAGGGCACAGCATACTTTGGTTAAGATTTTCAAAAGATTTTATCTCATTGAAAATTGTTCAGTAATGTTTAGCAGCCCCATGACCCTCACTAAACCCCAAATATTACAAACATGCATCACGCTCACAACTATAAAAGAGTTTGTGAGACAGGCTCTTAACAATAGTCATCTTGTGGTACAAATATTTGTATCCATTATAAGTAACTTTTCTATTCACAAAAATATTTTAGGTTTTACGAAAACTGGCAAACTGCTCATTGTCAAAAGCGTTAGACAGAATTTTACTATGTGGGCAGTATATTAACCTGTTTGACATGATTTGATTGAGATTTGATCCAAACATAGACTCCAGTCTAAGTTATCATAGGCTTTGTATTCAATTGGTTGAAGGCATACAGAAATGAAAGGGTTAAAAGAAATATGCTTCGAAGTAGAAAGAAATATGCTTGGAAGGAGAAAGAAATAAAGTGAAAAGAGGTGATTTTTTCTTCTGATCTAGAGACAGGTGTGATGTTAATGACAGCTCAGGAAATGAGATTGGCATAGATCTGCAGGTGACATTTTGATGAACTTGACGAGGGAGCGGGATGGAGATACATCTAGATATTTTTCAGAAAATAGGATGAGACCTAGTTAACACCCCAGTAACCACAACAAGAGAGACACCAGACCATCTGTAGACCAAACAAAAAATATTGTAAATGATGATAAAAGTGTGTCCATTTATTATTATATGGCACAGCTACGATATGAATAGTTCCTTTGCAGTCCTGCTCATTGCTCTGCTATAAGGCTTCGCCTTCTCACTTCCTTTGCAATCCTGCTCACTCCTCTGCTATAAGGCTTCTCCTTCTCAGTTCCTTTGCCATCCTGCTCACTGCTCTGCTATAAGGCTTCTCCTTCTCAGTTCCTTTGCAGTCCTGCTCAGTGCTCTGCTTTAAGGCTTCTCCTTCTCTGTTCCTTTGCCATCCTGCTCACTGCTCTGGTATAAGGCTTCTCCTTCTCAGTTCCTTTGCCATCCTGCTCACTGCTCTGCTATAAGGCTTCTCCTTATCAGTTCCATTGCCATACTGCTCACTGCTCTGCTATAAGGCTTCTTCTTCTCAGTTCATTTGCAGTCCTGCTCACTGCTCTGCTATAAGGCTTCTCCTTCTCAGTTCCTTTGCCATCTTGCTCACTACTCTGCTACAAGGCTTCTCCTTCTCAGTTCCATTGCCATCCTGCTCACTGCTATGCTATAAGGCTACTCCTTCTCAGTTCCTTTCCTATCCTGCTCACTGCTCTGCTATAAGGCTTTCCCTTTTCAGTTTCTTTGTCATCCTGCTCACTGCTCTGCTATAAGGCTTCTCCTTATCAGTTCCTATGCCATCCTGCTCACTGCTCTGGTATAAGGCTTCTCCTTCTCAGTTCCTTTGCCATCCTGCTCACTGCTCTGCTATAAGGCTACTCCTTTTCAGTTCCATTGCCATCCTGCTCACTGCTCTGCTATAAGGCTTCCTTCTCAGTTCCTTTACAGTCCTGCTCACTGTCTTGCTATAAGGCTACTCCTTCTCAGTTCCTTTCCCATCCTGCTCACTGCTCTGCTATAAGGCTTCTCCTTTTCAGTTCCATTGCCATCCTGCTCACTGCTCTGCTATAAGGCTACTCCTTCTCAGTTCCTTTCCCATCCTGCTCACTGCTCTGTTATAAGGCTTCTCCTTCTCAGTTCCTTTGCCGTCCTGCTCACTGCTCTGCTATAAGGCTTCTCCTTCTCAGTTCCTTTGCCATCCTGCTCACTGTTCTGCTAAAAGGCTTCTCCTTCTTAGTTCCTTTGCCATCCTGCTCACTGCTCTGCTTTAAGGTTACTCCTTCTCAGTTCCATTGCCATCCTGCTCACTGCTCTGCTACACGGCTTTCCTACTCAGTTCCTTTGCCATCCTGCTCACTGCTCTTCTATAAGGTTACTCCTTCTCAGTTCCATTGCCATCCTGCTCACTGCTCTGCTACACGGCTTTCCTACTCAGTTCCTTTACCATCCTGCTCACTGCGCTGCTACAAGGCTTCTCCTTCTCAGTTCTATCACAGTCCTACTCACTGCTCTTCTCCGCTCAATCCGTCATCAGGCTGTAATATAAACAGAATTAGATTGGATGCTAGTTCCTTGGGGATCTCCCTGTAGGCAACATACCTTTTAATCATCCAGTAATGTAATTACAATGACAGGGATGATCACTTGCTTGGCTATGTGCTGCCTTATATTTGGGTTCAAATGGCAAGGGGTGGTCTCTAAGAACATGAATGAAGAGGAGAAGAGACGGGATATGAAGGGGGTAGGAGAGTGGAGGGTAGAAGGTGGAGAGGAAAGAGGTTGGAAGAAAAAGGGTGAGAAGGAGGAGAAAGGAAGGAGGAGGGGGAAGGAAAGGAGAGGAGTGATTAAGGGTGAAGACCAAATAAATAAATGGAGGGAAGTGAAGGAAAGAGAGGGAAAGAAAATGAAAAGGGAATAAAAAGGCTAACTGGGATGGGGAAAAGGGTTGAGAAGAATGGCAGAATAGAGAGAGAGAGAGAGAGAGAGATGGGGATGAGAATTCAGGGTACACTTGAAGGAGGGAAGGTAACAAAAATCATGTAAACAATTATATGTCTAACAGCTTAGGGAGGATTCATAATATCCCTGATTATATAAGAGAAAGACAAGTATGCTGGTTAAAAAGGTCGTTATCGGTTTTTCTCTCTGCTGCATTGGCGTCTCAGAGTGGTTGGCACCATCTGAGCTGAGTAGCTCTCCTATGATTAGGGATGCATGCATTCAGCATCCTTGTGTTGTTTGTGAGTGTTGGGTTACTCCTAGTCTTCCTAGAGGAAGCAGGCAGTGTAAGAAGTTGGCTAAAGGCAGTGTCATCCTCATTATGAATACTGCCAGATGAGACTTGAGGGATCACCCATGAGTGACTGGTGTTAAAGCACCCCGTCAGGCAGGCATCCAGCTGGTTCTGTGTTCACACCGGACAAAGCAGCAGTGCATCTCGTCAGGCATAAGGCTGCTTGGTGTTCACACCAGACAAAACAGCAGTGCATCTTGTCTGCCGTTGGGCTGCTTGGTGTTCACACCAGACAAAACAGCAGTGTATCTCGTCTGCCGTTGGGCTGCTTGGTGTTCACACCAGACAAAACAGCAGTGCATCTCGTCCGGCATTTGGGCTACTTGGTGTCACACAAGACAAAACAGCAGTGCATCTTGTGTGCCATCAGGCTGCTTGGTGTTCACATCAGACAAAACAGCAGTGCATCTTGTGTGCCATCGGGCTGCTTGGTGTTCACACAGGACAAAACAGCAGTGCCTCTCGTGTGCCATTAGGCTGCTTGGTGTTCACACAAGACAAAACAGCAGTGCATCTTGTGTGCCATCGGGCTGCTTGGTGTTCACACAAGACATAACAGCAGTGCATCTTGTGTGCCATTGGGCTGGTTGGTGTTCACACGAGACAAAACAGCAGTGCATCTCGTCAGGCGTTGGGCTGCTTGGTGTTCACACCAGACAAAACTGCAGTGCATCTCGTCAGGCATTGGGCTGCTTGGTGTTCACACCATACAAAACAGCAGTGCATCTCGTCAGGCATAAGGCTGCTTGGTGTTAACACCATACAAAACAGCAGTGCATTTTGTGTCATCCTCCTTATGAATACTGCCAGATCGGGCTTGAGGGATTCCCAACGAGTGAATGATGTTAAAGCACTACGTCAGCTAGTCAGCAGTGCATCTTGTGTGCCATTGGGCTGCTTGATGTTCACATTAGAAAAGTAGCAGTGCATTTCATGTAGTCAACCATCCAGCTGCTTGGTGTTCACACTATATTCAAGGAGCAGTGCATTTGGTGTCAACCCAATGATGTATACTGACAGAAACGACATGAGGGATCAACCGTGATGCCGTGAGGGACTGGTGTTAAAGGCTCATGTCAGCCATCTACCTGTATCTACATGTACTCTGTGTTCACATTGAGACGAAGCAGCAAAGCAATGAGCTAGGCTAAAAGCAGTTTCATGCTTATTATGAACACTGCCACTTAGTGGATAACAAAATTTAAATGGTGTTAATGTGCCTAATTAGCCATTTAGCCATTCAGTGTTGTTACTTCTAAACTATCACTTTGTCATATCAGCTGTGCTATTAAAGAACGCATTTCTTATATTACACATGATAAACATGTGTGTAGCTAAGAATTGTTCATACCTTGCACCAATTTCTTCCTATTGTCTTTGCAGAGTAAAGATATTTAAGTTCTTTGCAGGTGCATTTACATCTTTGGAATTAAGTTAATGAAACAGATTCAGAAATCCTGTTTTTTTTTTTTATGCTATTGAAAAATCCAGTGCTTTACTTCACCTTTTAAAATTAATTCTAGTAAGGGTCAAGAATATTGGGTAATCATTACTCCATCTCATTGGAATAATTACTAAAGTTTGGTTTTGAATTTGAATTTTCAGGGGGCCATTTGCCCTTGAGCAGCTGTTAAAGTCTAGCCCAAACAATTATGTGCTAAACAATTTTTCGCTGATCACAGCACAGCACCCAAAGCTGAATTTGCCCTGCCCCAGCCCATCGCTTGAATGATTTTGGGATGAACCTCATGCGCAGGCTCTGTTGTTTAGAACCAGTAACCTGGACAACGAGGGACTATGACGTTAGCACTTGGGTACGTGGTTAAGTGGTTTGCAGGTTTGTGATAGCTAGAGGGTTAATAATATATATATGATAATATATAATAATAATATGATATATAGAGGGTTAATGAGTTTATTTCTCTTCTATTTTTTCTTCTTAGGTACGAAATAGTGATCCCAATGATATTCAGAGGGAGAGAGTGGTGCAGCTCGTTGATGACTTCAAGGTGACCGGAGTCAATGGATCACGTATCCTTTTGCTTTAATAAACCCTTCAGCATCGTATATATATGATGAACCGACTCAAAAGATGAGAAAAAAATCTGTGTGCAAGACAGGCCCCAAAGCCCAACGCTTAGTCCTTATTATATGCAGCACTATGAATGGTGCTCTCAAATCGAGGTTGGGAGGGGAGGGTTGGATGAGGTTTTTAAGTGTTTGAAGAGAAATGGAGTTGAGAGAGAGGGGAGGGGGAGAAGGAGACATGGGAAGGAGAGAGGGAGGAGGGTTGGGGAGAGGGAGGAGGAGGGGGGAGGGGAAGAGAAGAGGGGAGAGAAAAAAAGAATAGAGGAAGAATAGCGGAAGATAAGAAAAGGAGAGAGTGAAGGAGTGGAGAGGGAGTTAAAAGATAAGGAGGGAGAGGGGATAAGAAGGGAGAGGTGAGAGGGGAAGAGCAGTGACTGTCGGGAAGGCAGGAAGAGCCTCCCCCCCCCCCTAAAAAAGAGAGAATATGAGGGAAACGATTGAGAGGTACCGTTCCCTGAACGTATCAATTTGATGTGGTTTGATCTGTGAGTCATTCACCTTCTATTTTGTGGCGTGGGTTTTCTTCGTCGGGAGATGAATAAATTATTCCGTTCAAAACATCTCGCCCTGAAACTGGGGCCCTCTATACATTGTCTCTCTCAAGGTTGCTTCAATCGAATGCAGTGCCAGCATCTGAATGCAAATGTGAAACATTACCCTTTCAAAAAGTAATGCCAGCTCTCAATTTTGTGGCATTTTACAAAATGAGAGTTTCATTTTGAAGTCTTGTTCACATAATGCGGTAAGCCACAGCAAGGTTTCATATTTATTATGTCATATATGCACAGTATGCTTCACAGTGTATCATGTAACACATAGATAATGAGTCTGACATTTTTTACTGGTTTATCCAGTAGTGTGAATGGCAGTCCAAAAAAAATGATGGTGTTTCGAAATGGTTTTGGGTCTGTGTAAATGTACATGTAGGCCGTTTGTTGCACGTAGCTACTATTTCCTTCCCTACTTGCTATTCGTTTGATAACAGGTAGCAAAATCTGCTGCAGTTTTCTGCCTCTTATGTGAACGAATCTGAAGAGATATAGAGAAGGAGTTGATTGAAGTTTAAAACGTTGCAGAAGCATCTTCTTCTCTATGAATATAGATAGTTAAAACTATACATTAAACAGTAAAAAAAAAAAAAAATATTTTATTTTTTTATCTTGCCTCGACTGCAGGACACAATTGTTATTACCATTGTCTTGTATGTAAGATTTGTTTTCCTTAACTCGTATGATTATCTCAGATGTATGTATGGTGTTTGAAGTTCTTGGTAACAATCTTCTGAAACCCATCATCCAATCTAAATACATGGGACTACCCATCAGGCAGGTCAAGAGCATCATTAGACAGGTATGTACCTCTAACCCCCCCCCCCCCCTCCCAAATTAAATGTCTACCTTATTTAGAGTAGAGTATCTAAATCCGGGGGGGGGGGGGGGGGGGGCACTTTGGGTTCGTATGAAATATCAAGCTGCTTTTTCCATCCAGCACACAAGTTAATTTGCATGTAAATTAAAAACAGTGCTCACACGAAACACAAGTGATGTTATTGTGGAATGGCCATCTAATTAAGTGACGCAAATAGAGCAGTGTAAAACATGTACACTAGCATTCAATGTCCATGAAGTTAATGCAAAAGGATTATTGACAATATAATTCAAAGTTTTCAAAGAGAACATTCAATTGTAATTTTGTTTTCTTCAGTTAGACCACGTCTTGAGAGTTTTTATATGATGCTATATTTATATGATGCTTGGATATAAGTTTCTATTAAAAGGTCAAATGATACTCAATAGAATACATTCTTTTTAAATATCATATGGTTCAATGGCTTTGTGGTTTAAATTTAATTCAGTGTGGAGATTACAATGGGTAATCTTTGCCCCCCCCCCCCCCTAAAAAAAAAGGGAGCTAATTTACAAATCTAATGTGGTGACCAAATATCGCTTTGGCAACATTTGCCTCAAGCTCTTATTTGTCAAATTATGTGTTAGTAAGGGTTAGGGTTACTATTAATTTTAGGTGAGGTATAGGGTTATGATATGAAATTTTTTCGTCCAAGTGTGAAGGTAAACATTTCGTTATCTAGCAAGTTGACAACCGTGCAATTGTCATGAGAGATTGTGACATAGAATGGATCGACTGGTTGTTTTTACAGGTGTTGGAAGGTGTAGATTACTTGCATACAAAGTGTAAGATCATTCACACCGACATTAAACCTGAGAACATCTTACTGTGTGTGGACGAAGAAACCATCAGGAGACTGGCTAGTGAGGCCAAGGAATGGATGAAAGGCAAAGCAAAACCTCCAGTTTCATCAGGTCAGTATATTTGTATTTTACTGTTTTGTAGAAGAAAAAAAATGTTTAATGAATATAATTTTGTTTACTTTGTTTGTTTATATGGGATATAAATGCATAAAATCATCATATTATTCCCAAATTCTAGGTCGTCTTCTGCCTATTTTTAAACCCCGGCCTTGTGTACGTGTATATACCATGCAATGCACCAGCTAGAAACCAGAGAGATTTGGGCAACGGTCGCTGTTTTGAAGGGGGGGGGGGGGGGTCTGACCAACCAACCCGGGTTCTAGCACTTAAAGGGCAATACAACTAAATGAAGATAAATATATAACCAAATCCCATGAAATATTGTGCTTTTACAGTGAGTACAGCCCCACTAGAGAGGAAACCTCAGGAGAAGATGTCCAAGAACAAGAAGAGGAAGATGAAGAAGAAGCAGAAGAAGCAACTGGCTCTCCTGGAGAAACAGCAACAACAGCTCCAAGAGATTGATCAGGAGAAGACAAGGACAATATCAGGTAAACAAATGATCAATTAAAGCCCCACTGCACTACTTATAGCTACTTGGGCCCTCTATAGAGCAAACATTACCTAAGCGGTACCCGTTGGGCCCCCATGATCCTCTTTTTCTTATGTTAATTGAGAGCTTAATTGATGAGATAACCACCTGTCAGTGACCACGCAGGGAGGTCTAATCCCTCCTGGCCAAACTAGTGTAGAGAGGCTTTCATGACTTTTGTTATAATAATTCGAAGATGATCAGCAAGCTCCAGAGATATTTGCTTCTGTCTTTATTTCATCAGAGATAAGGTGATGGGGTTGAGGCTATGATTGGGGTTCAAGTTACCATTGGGTGTAATGTCAACATTGGGAATTTGAATGGATCTAGAAGTTGACCACTGAGCAGTTGTTGCTGGTGCATGTCTTGTAATCACCTAGAGGTCAAGAGGTCCCCTTGCTCATGATACTAGAGCGCTTTCGCAAAGACGACAGGAGAATTACTGCGATACAGTTCTTCCGTCGTGTTTAGGGAACAAATGCTATCATGCCTGCGTACGGTCGTAAAAATCAACAAGACAACAAAAATTCTGGTTCGCGCATGTGCAGATTGTTCTTTTCGCTCGCGTTACTGTTGTCTTTGCCTTCCGTCGTGATTGCAAAAGCGCCCTATTTTTCATGAAGGTCCTGATCAAGGCCCTCCAATTGAAATTTGAGACCTACTTGAGACTCTCTTCCATTTATAAGCTATTCACCTCTTATTTGTTTTTGATTGAAATAAGTTTGCTTTGAGACACATTATCATAAAAATAATCTCATCAGTCTATTTCATTCTTTTTAAAAATCTCTAATGTCACAGTGTCCTTGTATCAATATCAAACTAAGTAGTTTCATACAAGTTCAACCTTTTCCATCATGTCCTACATTGAAGACTTGCACTCTTTACCAATGCACCTATTCTCATCAACCTTGCCTTGTAATATCCTCTCAGAAACAAGCCAACCTGACGCCGACAGGGACGGTGAAGACAACGTCGCAACGGATGCAGTACCCCAGAACCAAAGCAACAACGGAAACCAGTCATTGAGCCCATCGGAAGACAAGATGGCAGAAGTACTAGAGGAAGCCGAGGAGGAGGAGGACGGAGCCGTCTCCAGGATGAAGGCTACAAAGTCTCCAGAGAGGACGTCAGAGATATCGAGTCCTGAGGAGGAACAGCCAGGTAACAATTAGCGATATTGGGTTTAGATTGCCGACTTTTCCTTTGATTTGAACTACCAAACAAATTCAAATGCAAGAACAGGTTTTTACTGTAATGTATTCATGACAGTCGACATCGAGGATAAGATTGTTTGAAGTTATTAATGCAGTATGGATGTGAACAAGCAAGTCTTAACTATTTCATTAGAGATCAAGGAGATGAAGGATCAACTGAACAGATATTTGCGATTGTATATGATGAAATGTTTTAACTCAATAAATATTTTAGAAGTTTTAATATTCAATGACAAACATTAATATAGATCACCAATGTGCATCATGTGTTTTAATGGATTGTGGATGTTGACAAACTATTTTAAACAGTGTAAAATAGTGAATATTAGGGACTTGACACACTTATTTGTCAAAGATGTTTTTTTTTAAAGAGAACTGGTCAGCCGTAGAAAGAGTTGAATGTAAACCCCAAATTGCTGCTAGTTTTACATCTGGGTCCTGTTGCAAAAAAACTAGCATTGATGGTAACTTCCATAGAAATCTTGATTTGATTGGCTGTTTGGTGATGTCGCCATGGTAGTTATTATCAATGACAAAGTTATTATCAATTCAATGGGCCCCTGAGGTCATTAAATGTTGATTAACTATTTCATACCGGACTCGATGTATAACTTGGTGATAATTCACAATAACATCAGTTTATCTGCATCATGAACAATTGTGGTTAAATCCGTTCTTTCTCCAGGAGTAGTCGTGGGTGAAAATGCAACAAACGGGAATGAGGGTGCCGGCTGTCATGGTGATGAGGCTGAGGATGCAGACGTCTTTGAGGATGCACCTGAGAGGATACCGTCACCGGTCAACGAGAAAGGAGATGGACCTGGTAGGAAGGAGGTGGAGAAGGAGCAGGAGCTTTGTAACGGGTATGTGGAGGAGAATGGAGACGGAGATGTCGACCTGCCTCTTAAACCAAAGCTTCATCCAGACGTCAAGGAGAATGGACTTGATTCAGCCTCCTCTACGCCTACACCTACCAAAGAAAGTCTCAAAAATGGTAAGCATAAACATTTGTATGTAGAACAAAATCAGGATGATACTTTTTTTTCTTCTTAAAAGCAATAATAGCCGTGATGAGAGCATGTGAGCTCCATGACGAGCTTTTGTTTAGATCTCTGTTTTTGTTAAAGACTCCCTCTCTAAAAATGTAGGTCTTACCAGAACAAGAACTATGAGTAGAGTTTATCAGCCGTTTTCAGGGCTTTCATTTCTTTAAAAGAATAGATGTTAAGATCATGGAATATTCACCCACAAGCTTTTCCATCATGTAAAAAGCAGACTCCTCACAAAGTTTCTAAATCATTGAGGTTTGAAGGTCAAAGGCTCTTCTAAAAATGAGATACAAGTTCCAAGTTCACCTTTAATTCCACTTCTCATAATGAGTGGCAACATTAAAAACAATTGTTTTAAATTTGAGTAGAGGAGTGGATGAGCGACAAAGATGGCCTGAATGCATGACAACTGTTTGCATTGGCACCGTCTTGTAACAAAGAGCTTGTCGAGCATTGCTACTGAACCTTGGTTCACCTCCTTGCATTGTAAACCTCTCTTTGTCTTTCCTTTGGTACAGATTCTATTTTCATCCTTTTCATGTTACAAGTACAATGGAGGTTCCATATCATCGCACCAACTATTTCTAGAACCTTTGATTAAACATGCATGAAGTCGAAATCTCAAAATACTGTTACATCAAACATGACCATTCCTTGTATGTAATGGCATTTACAGTAGGTATAGACTGTGCCATCTGCATGATGATATTGCACAAGAATGAGCACTTCAGATGGCAAGCAGTGAAAGGCATAGTTTTCAACACAGGTCACATTGTCTGTGACATGTAAAATTTGCATAAATGATGAATTGTTTATTCTTTTTTCTTTGTATAAATAGTTGAGATTGACTCAGAAAGGTTGTAATATTGATGTCAATTTCAATCATGTACTCAAGAGATAGGAATCTGAAAGTATCTGAATGATTGCATGACTTCCAATCGCTTTCGAACAAACGTAACTCCTCATAAAAGCCATACTGTACCAGAAGCACTAACCCAAAATCTCCTCTAGCGCCATCTGAGGTCAGCTATAGCAGTATGGTCCCTTAACTCGCTGCTTCCCGAGCTGCGCTGTTGGTTCTTGCATAGAGCCCTCTGTCTGCGAAGGAGGTGCGATAGCTCAGTCGGTAGAGCAGTGGTCTCGTATTCTGGTGACCCGGGTTCAAAACCAGGTCGATGCGCTAGTGCCCTTTGTTAAAGCATTAATTCTCATTACCAGGTCCCTCGGAGAGGACCTAAAGCCGTCGGCCGTCTGGTTGCTTACTTACAAGCGTTTATGCTTTCTTAGCAGTCGGGTAAAATAACCACCATCACCATATCTATATCTATCTAAATGTGGTATTGGGAAATGCGCCTTTGGCAAGTTTTGAGATGGTACGGTGCAATCAACAGTATGGTAGGGCAGAAAGTTCATTAACTCAGTATTGCTATAAAAAAAAGGACCATTATAAGACAGAAGTTCAAATAATTTGTACATAAGTCAATTTAATACTGTCATTCTTTACCTTCATGTAGCTGCAAACAAGGAGAAAAGCGAAAACAAAGCCAGCGACCCCAATGAGAATACCATTTCTGAAAACTCCACCGAGAGCAAAGACAAAGAGACTCTGAACAATGGAGCCAAAGAGAATGGAAACCACAAGACTCTAGACAATAAACCATCAGACAATGTACAGGAAAACAAGAATATTGAACTCAATTCGCTGGGAGCCGACTCCATGCTGAATGGAGGGGTGTCCCCCGAGGAGGATGTGCAGACGAAAGATGCACAAAAGGAAGACACCACCAGCGACGATAACAGGAGAAAGGAGATTGATCTTAAGTGGGAGGAGTTGGAAAAGTTTGAGTCAAAGAATAGCGGTGGTGAAGACGGGAAGGAGGGGAGTGGAAGTGCAGCCACAAGCCCAGCAGATAGCAATAAAGGTGAGTGGGGATCGGTCCAGGGACATGGAGAGAAGGAATCACTGTAAGAGAATATGTAATACAAAACAAAGTCATCTTTCCCTCAATAGACTAACTCACGATTACATTTAAGATGACAACCGATTCAGTTACGCTCTTTTCATAGTATCTTTATCGATAGAAGTTACTTGCATAGAATATATGGTATTATGTCAGTAAACCTTAGGCAGGCTTTCAGGGTCTTAAAAATGATTTGTTCTACAAAATATCTAAGGATGAATGTTTTAGTGAACTGTACAACTTTGATTTTCATTCCCAAATTAATGGGAGTGTAGCCTGGCAAATACTGGTTAATGCCATCTACGTCTCATTTGGAGATAACTGCTTCGATTTCGCATATGTTGCACGCATATTATTGCTATGGTCGCGTCATCCATAGTCAAATTATACCCGATTGGCCCTGAGTCAGGTCCCGGGAAAGACAGGTAGTCTCGTCAGGCTACACTCCCGTTAAGTAGTAGTATCTCTCAATACAGTAATCATGTTGTCTAGTTATTGGTCACTGTCCTAGACACAATCTATGCCGCTTGAGGAATGGAGGTTGGGTATGAGAGTCTTTGATAAAAAAATTGTTACTACCTTGGATTGGATGTTTCTGATGCTTGAATAAGGAATAATTGGGAATTTGTTCTCATGTCGTCTGTAGTTGTGTAGATGCAATGTTTTGGAAAAATCCTAATACTTACAGTGGGAAGGGCATTGACCATTTATAAATTAAAGTTAATGGTGTTTTAGAAGGTTCAAATACCAACGATCATGTTTGTTTTGTTTTTTTTAGATGGAGAATCTGTAGAAGGAGCCACCTCCCCTGAGAGGAAGGATGAGCTCCCCATCAAGCTGGCTGACCTCGGCAATGCATGCTGGACGGTAAGAATCTACAGAAACTCTCATTGGGCCTGTCTTCATCAGCTCAAGATTGCCAAATGACCCGCTATTTCAGATTTCAAGTTACACATCGCGTCTTCGTCAGCTCCAGACTCGACCTTGAAACTCAAGCTTGAGAAATTAGCGCTATATTTTGCTTCGCGTTCGCGCATAGTGCGAGTCTTTGGGCTGATGGAATGGGGAATGATTATCTCAACCAAATATCCTGCTAATTGCAACTGCTGGCTGATGAAGACGCAAATTAGCTGGATAATTTGCGATCGGGATAGTTAAAACAGCGGGTTATTTGGCAATCTCGAGCTGATGAGGACAGGCCTATATATCTGGACTACTAGACCCTGAATCAATAGCCAAGGAATGATTACCCCTACCACTATTACCTCTCTAGGGTCCTCACTACCATTGTTTATTGGTAGATGTCCTGTTGGGGTCATCATCCAATTATCCAATTGGTAGTCCTCAGGATGTTTGTTTTCTGGATGGTTATTGTTGTATGGAGGTGATGATCTAGGTACAAGTTGACTAGATAGACATGACCAAACATTGGTAACAGACTGGATTGTTTGGGGATAGAGTTTTAATGGTGATAATCATGTATTAAACTGTCTGGGGGGGGGGGGGGGGGGTTGTTGCAGTTACTCTTCCTAATAGTAAATAAAATGGTGATTTTGCGGGTGCTAGTTGTCAGGAGGGCATTTAGTCTACATGGGAAGGCATATGTTGATAGATGTGTAATTGTCAAAATGGCAATCATCAGAAATGGAGACGAAAGTATCTCTAAGAGAAATTTTGCAAGTGCTACTCAAATGACCACTAAAAGCTTGATTGACTTTACAATACACTATGCATTCCTACTTTGAACACATTTAGAGACTTGAGACTTGTTTATCATTTGAAAGGTTGCTTACCTTGATTATGACACTTGGATTGAAATAATAACACTTTAAAGCCTTTTGGCTTCAGTCACTTACTGTATTCCTATTTACCGACCAAAATAGATTTCTGATATTTTCATGGTTATAATAACTGAGACAAAGAATGGGTAGCCAATCATATCATAGACACCCTCATGGCTGACTGGCTGCCAACAACGAAAGAGAGGGTGCAAGGCTATAGGGAACTGTCCTTGAATGGCAATTGTCCATCTATCTATTTACAGATCCTAATTTGTTATCATTTTGATTAATGAGATGACCTTGCAGGTTTTGGATGAACCATTCAGTAGTAATATGTCGATATGTAAATCACCAATCCTGGGATTTATGCATCTATGTGTGTGTGTGATCAATACAACTGAAGAACATGCTGTGACCCATAATAAACTTATGGTGACATTGGTATTCATTCAATAAAAAGACAAATTGTTGAATTGTGTCCAAAATGGTACAAAACTGTGGAATCTTACCAGGGACCTGAATATAGGAACATATGAGTATATAGAAACATAGTTTTGATGTTTGAAGGTTTGCATGGTGGTATGAATAATCACGGTAGAGGTTTACGGTACACCATTACGGTACACATGGTGTACCGTAAACCTCTACCGTGATTAAACATAGTTTTGTTTTCCATGTCTGCTTTACAACCACATGTAGATAATTTTTTGTTTACAAAATCTTCTTTTTAATATAATGTGTTAACATTGTGTACCAAAGTTTGATTTATGGATTTATTTTGTGTCAGCTAACTGCCTAAAAATGATGATGATGATGGTGATAATGTGTGACTGATCTTTTTCCTCCACAGCACCATCACTTTACCGAGGACATCCAAACAAGGCAGTACAGAGCTCTGGAAGTGTTAATAGGAGCAGGCTACGACACAGCGGCAGATATATGGAGTACGGCTTGTATGGTGAGTAGACTTATATGATACTGATAGTGTTTAGAAGATGAATGGATCAGTTTCATTGCATTTTGGTTTCAGAAGTTTACTTGAGGGCAATGGAGTCCAAGTAATTGAATATAAAAACTCCACATCATATCAAAAGGTCCAGGGCATTATAAGTCTGTTACGTTTTAATTGCCATCATAATCAATGTCAAGGAATAAATCCTGCCAGGTGCCCATTTAACGTATAGGTAGAGAGAGACAACTGTAAATGAATACCTACCGGTAGTCCAAGGCAGAGTCATCTATACACGGAGTTGGACACAACGTGGCGACTACTGCTGTGTTGGGCAAACACAAAACAAAAGAATGTACGCCATGTTGTGACCTAGTGAAACCAAGTTGGCCAAACTCTGTGTATAGATGGCTGTGGTCCAAGGAAGTCTTTAATCATCATCAAAATAATCATCCTCATCATAATCATCAACACCAACCTCATCACCTCATCATCAAATGTTCTCACCTGTGTGCCATTTTTATTTTGGACTTGAAAACTACATTTGAATCAATGTTGTTCAGTGACGTTCTATAAAAAAAAACATGTCTATATCTCTTTTTTGAAGGCCTTTGAGCTGGCTTGTGGAGACTACCTGTTTGAGCCTCACTCTGGAGAAAACTACTCAAGGGATGAAGGTAAGATACATGTCTAGAAATTCTCCAGCATTTTTATGATGGTCTTAATTAAAAGTTTGACACATGCTCCAGCATCAAATGTCCATCGGTTTTTGTTGTTGATGTAATCAAATATCTACCTTTAAACTTTGTCTTGATATGACACTTAACTTTATTCATAAATTTAACTTTAATAAAACTCAATTGCAACCTATGCTCTAAATAAAGTGTGCATCTTGAACAGGATAATGCAAATGTCAGATCACCATTGCCCCACGAGAGAGGTGACATGCAACAAATTTCTGTTCTTGAGATTGACAGATTTTGTGTTAAAACCTTCAAATTGGCAACTTGTCAAATTGAAAATTCTTATACTTCCATTTTTTAATCTTGCATTTCTTAATATCTATTCATATAGAATTATGATTTTTAGATGCATGACATTTACCATGAAAAATATTCATGACAAAGAAATGTTTTATTACATTTTCCAGTTTAGTAAAGGAAAAGCTGATTCATTTACAGATTATTCTTTAAATGTCAATTTGATTTGTTTTTCAGATCACATAGCTCACATCATTGAATTAGTTGGACATATACCCAAACATGTTGCTCTCAGTGGAAAATACTCCAGGGATTTCTTCAACAAGAAAGGTGAGTTTCATTGGTTTCTTTCAACTAAAAACCCAGTAGTCTGTTATTGACAATGATGTGCAAATATAGCTTTATAGTGCTTTATAGCTCTTTTAAAATTAGGTTGTCTTCCAATTACCCTGAAAGCCACCGTGAAAGTGTCGCAATTAGGAAAATATTCCAGTTTTAATTGGAGATTTTTTTAAAAATAGAATCAAGCACAACTCTATTTTTAAATGATAGCTTCTAAATAATTTTAGCTGGTTAATAAGCATAGGAAGAGATGAAGGAATTTAGGATTAGTACTGTGTGTACACATCTAGGTTTGTGCTTTTTATTATAAGGGATTTTCATCAACGGATTTTCAAACTCGTCCAAACCACACTTTTACTGTATGGTAATCACTTTTGAAAGACATCTAGCCACTTCCCCTCTAAATGAAACTCAATGACAAGCGCTGAGAGATAATTCATCTGTCTTCATCCTTTTCTTCAGGTGAGTTGAGGAACATCTCTAAGCTGAAGCCGTGGAGCCTCTACCACGTCCTGACGGAGAAGTACGAGTGGCCCAAGGAAGACGCAGAAGAGTTTGCCAGCTTCCTTTACCCTATGCTCGAGTTTGATCCAACCAAACGTGCCACAGCCAAAGAGAGCCTGTCCCACCCCTGGCTCTACTCATGATGAATGTCGTCGTCTTCTTTAACCACCGCCGCCGCAGCCCGTTTGTCTAGCGTTTTCCTCGTCGCCGTTGTGTGAAACCGTACAACCTCATCTTGTTTAGGTATTTTCTCCTTCCAACGTTTGAACTGTGTTTTTTATGTTTTTTTGTTATTATTCAGCGTTTGTGCAAACCAGGAGATGGAAATTTTGTTTTAGAAAGGTGGATTGCAACCTCAAGTTGTGTCAACGTGCTTAGGATCTAGCCCAGTGATCAAAGGGTACATCGTGGGCATTTAATACATGAAAACAAGCACATGGGAGTATGAACGTGACACATGAAATCTTTCTACCTTGTCAATAATCCCAACTATTAAATTCTCTTCTCTCCTCTTCCTTAATCTGTCATCTTTTCTTTCTTCTTTTTTTCTCATCATATTCTCTCTTAACCATATTTCCAGCTCTTCTCTCCTTCTTTCATCTTTCATTCGGGCCTTACATTTTTTGCCCCTTACATTTTTTGCCCCAATGCAGTATCGGTATCTTGCTCTCATGAAGTTTGCTTTTGTTTCTCCTGTAATTTGCTGTTGCCCATGGTGCGAAGGGTTTCTAGATCATTCTAAGTGGGATTTTATTCCTTTTTTCACAAGCAATAATCCAATGATGTTTGACCATGTATCAAAACTTTAGTCAACTTTTGAATAGTCTTTTACTAGGACTAGGATGGCTGAATGTTTTAAAAAAACTGATGAAGAAACTTACTTTTACCACCTGTTATAACCCATCCACCCCCAACCCCCCAAAAGTAGATGTATTATATACCTCTCTTTAGACATCTAGCCATTTAATTGGTCAAAATTGGAGTCGTGATTTTAGCCTTCAGGGGTGGGGGGCATGGAAAGGATGTCGAGAAGGTGTAAAGCTCAGTGGTTTGAGCAAAGATTTTGAACTGTTAGATCGTGGGTTTGAAACAAAAGACAAGTGTGCTAGCGCCTTTGAGGTTGGTTAGCCATCACTCTACATATTCATTTTCATATAAAGTCCCCTGGTTGCCTTATGTTTGAGCTCATAGCACTACCCATCCCACCCCCACCACACCACACACACAAAAAAGTGGAACAAAACTGCTGATTATTAGAGTTACATATCCTTTTTATTTCTAAGAGTTACTTAACTACCAATGGTTGTTATCCCCTTTTACAGCATGTAGTATGATACCGTTTTGCCCTTTTAATTATTATTTGCCATCTATTTTTGGTGATAAGCACTTTTTTGTTGTTGAAGGAATTGAAGCACAATGTTACATAGATGTTTTGTGGGTATCTATCAGTCTATGTTCCATAGCTTGGAGGCCATTGGGGCGACAGCGAAATGGACCTTGAGACACAGGTTGTAGGTTAAAGACTAACAAAAGTTTGGTGGTTGTTTCTATATTACTGTGTATTTCTGTGTGCTGAGCTTCCACAGTCATCCCTGTACTGTTTCAATGATTACCGTTTCAAGATCAGTTTCCCATTCAGCCACTTTCAGTCAGCCCATAAAGGTCCTTCCAAATTTGACCAAGGTGAAAAGTTGGTATTTCTATTCAGCTTGTCTCTTGCGCTATTCATTGGCCTACTCGTCAAGCTTAACCTACCATTTCCAAAATGAGCTACCGGGTATGTGTGATTAGGCATCTCAGAGCAAAAATCATCCGCACATTGCGTAAAGCATTATACGACCACCAGCATAAGAGTAGCACAGCTAGTCCAGAACATGGTGATCCGTGCTAGTTACACCATCCAGGTGCAAGCAACTTGATGAAATTGAGTTGTAGAATTCATCTTCTACATTTATTTGGTGAAATAATAACATATGGCACAGATGCACTATACTGTCTCGGTCTCCCCTATTGTAACTAAATTTAAGACGGGTTTGATGATGTGAAGCTCCAAAAAGCCGATACAAGGGTGTTTCTTGGACATGTTAGGTCAGCGACAAAAAGCATGGTGGTTCACAACATTTTGGCGGTTGATGTGGAAAGAAGGACAATTCTATCCATTTACAGTGAGAATTATTTGTACAAAGTGTTGGCTATAATGAAAAGACCATTCGTACCACTACGGCCTTTAGGTCACTATCATCAGAAATATTCTTGAAAGCTTACAGCACCAACATTTGCAAGATTGTTTGCGTTGATCACTAGTAGTCCTAGTGAGAAAGATAATCCTTCATTTCACTGTATTGTTCTAATGTATTTTGTCTCTATGGAAAGAGTAATGTTGATTGAATTTATATTGAAAGATTGAAAATACCTGAAACTAAACAAAAATATTACATGCCTTCTTGATTAGTTGAAGAGAAATTACGAGCTATTGCCAATCGATTCTTTGAATGTTGTGTGGAAGAAATTAGAAGAGTCAATGAAAATTAGAGTATGTACAATTGTAAGAATTTTTTATACTTTGTAAAAAGTTTGAAAGAATCCATCCCAAATATTGTAAATAGAATACGTCACCATTGTAACATGTTTGCGTGCGATCCATTTGCAATAATCTATTCCAACCCTGTTTTCAGTAGACTAAATTTCCATGTACGGAATATTGATGATGTCTTAGAAAAGAACAGGCTTTGCAAAAGGAATAGGATTCATACTCCCCAGTCATTTATCTCTTAACTTATTGCATTATGTTGCCTTCTGTTTTAAGAATGATCTATATATACTGTTCCGATGTTTTGTGTAAATAATCATTCATGTAGAAAGAAGAAGACATTTTTGGTGCCTACAAATACTTAGAGTTTCATAGCCTCATGAGTTATATAACTGCATGGATTATTTCATCATAGTACATTGCACTCTAGAAAGAAATATGTTTATCAAAACCTTGCGTGATACTATCATCTAGACAATAATGTATTCTAAATTTCATACTCCTTTATATCCTCTCATAGTACAAACTCTGCTTTTGGTTTCTCCCTTGCTTCAACGGTGAGGGTGGAAGCAGAAATTTGCTGGTGTGTGTTAGGTTAACTTCTGGCTAGTTTGAAAGCTGTTTAGGATATTGCTTGTATCCTCTATTGTTTGGATTAGGTGCAATAGTGCTATTGAGTGACAAAAATCACAATTTTTAAACTATGTCTGAATTTACTCTTCGGTTAAATTCTAGAGGCTACCAGGCTGTCAGATGTAAAGGAATAGCAATTTCTTTATTTCTTTTGGAAGTGTCATATAACACCACCCTCCCCCCCCCCCCCCTCCCCAATGATTTATTATTTTTAAGCTTGGTCCTCATAGCCTTGAATTGTTTCTATTTTCAACACCCATTTATATTGCTATCTACCTGGCAATATTTGTTGGATGGCGAGAAAAAAAATAAAAGTCATGGTAAAATCACAGTTTTCGTATTTTCTCCAAGTCAATACATTTACTTAGCAGAGGAAACTTTTAAACCATCAATTCAAAATGAAGGTAATGAGAAAGAAGTCCATAGCCTTTCTATTTTTTAAACCATGGTCTGTTTTCTCTGCTCAACCCATAAATTATGTGATACCAAAGAAACTTAAAGAAAACCTGTGTCTGCCTTTTACCGAATTCTTAATCAAATCAAAATATTTCATCTCAAGCCACACTTGCAAAATGTTCATCAATCTGGTTTATATTTCTTGTAGGAAGAGCCCCATAGATCATATTTATAGATCATTATCTAGCAGATTCCTGTACTTTTATTCTAGAGGGAGTTACGCGAAGCATATTGAGCTATTTGAAGCAATTAGTTTTCATCACACACATGTACAAAGAGATAGAGAGAGAGAGGTATAGATAAATTTTGTTACAATCACGCGTTTGTGTACAGTACTGTGTACATAAAGAAACAATGGCATATTTCAGTAGCTATACAGAGAGAAAATGGTTGGATATCGTCGTTAACGGAGTATTTTTCATTAAGAAAATAATTAAATGGCTTATTGCATTCATGTTATGTTGTATTCGACGAGTGTGAATTCACTTGACTCACTTATGCAGAATATTGAGGATATCATGCTGATAATATTTTTTTTTTTATTATGCCTTATTTTCTAGTATTGAGTAAGTATGATATTTATTGCAACCAGTTGATCTTGTTTGTTTGTTTCATATTATTTTGATTGATGAGAATTTAAATCACAATATCCCAAGAATTCATAGGAATATTTCAATAGTATTCTGTCCGTTGGAAACGAAACGTGTGATGCTCAAACTTATATGCAGAATAAATAAAATGCCAGTTGAATTGTATTTTTATCTTGGTACAAATGAAGACACTTTGTTTCACTTACATATATAGTGTCGTGTATCAGGTATTAGTAATGTTCCTTATTCCACTAAGAAGAAATGAAATGATTATTCTCTGTACTGTTATTTAACAATATATATATAACCTTTTGTTTAGCTATGTTTACTGAATTTTTTAATCTGTTACATAGCCCCCCAAATTTATGTATGGATAATTGGAATCACAGTTAAGAACCATAGCTTTATAGCGTATCTCTGTATTACAAAGTGCACTGAACCCCAAAACTCATTCATTGAAAAGTTAATTATTTGTTGATGTCACTTTCGATTGCTGTTATTAATTAGTCCACAATCAGGGTTAAATAAATTAAAACTTGTATCCAATAGAGATTGAAGACTATATTAAGTACAATACAGTGTTTGATAATTCTTAAATGAAGTGTATGATTTTGTTATTATTTTTTTGTTCTTTTGTACAAGCCTCTAAAAGTTGGAGATAATCTTCGACTTGTTCATCGAAGGATGAATTTTACTTCTTAGATTGTCTCATTTTCTTTAGGAATGTCTGGAATTGTCGATCTTAATTCGACAGTATTAAAACATTTAGTGTTGGAACAACCATTTGAAATCATGTGTGCCTTCTCAGTTATGTTGCTTTCTCAAAGTTCCGTCTTCATTTAGTGATGGGAGTGTGAAGTCTGATGTTTGAAGTTGCATTTATCATAGAAGACTTATATTAAAACTACAATTACTCCTTATGTGTGTTTTGCTCTATTTCAAATCATGCAATCCAATTTGACCTAGGCTATTACATGAACATAGGATTATTATTGAAAGTATAATGTAGGCAAGTGTCTGTAAGTGCCTCTTATATGTTTAAAAATTTCCCCCTTTTTTTATAGTATTATTGTTATTAATTTGCTATCTTGTGACATACTAGGGCAATTGAAAAGAACATTGATCTGGAATACACATTGGAAGAAAATGTGGAGGCAGAGCTTGAAAGAAGACAGAAAGAGAACGAGAGGGGGGAGATGGAGAGAGAGAGAGAGAGAGGGGGTGGAGATAGAGTAAGAGGAGAGAGGGGGAGATGAATGAGGAAATGGAAGAATACATGAATATAATCTATTACTACTAGTAGTACTGCTACCACTACTACACTACCACCACCACCACTAATACAACATACTTATATACTTCTAATATATAAATTACATACTATAATAATAGTACATGTAATAACAATGATAATGTTGATACTTGATATTTTCATAGGGCACATAATATCCACCCTGCAAGGTACTCAAGGTACTCCAATGTTACCCGGCTCTGCTGGGCTACCGATTTCGGTGCTCACAGCATTCAATGAATTCCTTCCTACCAGTACCCGTTTAACACCTGGGTGGAGAGTGACAAATGTAAATTAATGTCTGAATGTCAGAGAAGAAGAAATGTTATGTCACCAACAAAATGCAGTGATAGGTCACATTACAGAAGGAATCAAACATTCAAAAGTTGCTTATATTCAACAATTAACAATAATATTTTTATTCATTTACACAACGTATTTTACAAAAAAAATAAAGTATAACTTGTATTACATGATAATAGCTTTATCAACTTTAATTTTGGGAAAGCATCTTGTTTCCTGCATCATTACTCACATTACAACACAGATTGCTAAATTGGTAAACACAACTTCAAGAGTTTCAATATTTGTAACAAAGTAGTTTGTCATCGTTAAGAGATACCTACAAGGCTACAATATGAAGATAACTACTACTCTCAAAAAATAAATAAGGAGCTTGTCAAAACGTTTAACTATACAGTCATATTTGATTGATTTCATCAGTGCCATTTTAACTCGAAAACCTATTTTTAAGAATTTGCTATTGATTCTGTTTTATTCAACCCAGATTGGATAAGGCAGCTTTAGAATTTTCTTTTTCAAGCGAACTTGTGTATATACTTTCGGCATTTATCTTTAACGTTGGGCTATATAGTTGTAAGCAATAAATTCCTGTCTTGCAGTTTGGCAAATATCCCGAACGAACTGACCGACCTACAATCACCCTGCGTCATGTATAAATCGCTTTCAAAATTAATTAGGAAATAATTGACGCACCGCCGTAGGAGTCCAGCTCTAATTACAATCTCTTTCTGAAGCGCTGCCATCACGTGATTTGATGACGTTGTCACGTGATATGGTGCGGTCGTCTGCTCTCGATACACCGGCTGCTCACACGGCCACTGAACTTGATACGGGCGGTTTAATCCGTTTACCGCCCCCATACCTCCGGGGAATGCTCGTCCTGTTGCATGGCTATGATAAGATTAAGCCGTTCCAAATTGTCCTTCCTTGCCAAACATTAATAAAAGAAATCGGATCTACATATTTACTGCACTCGAAGACCGGGTTATGCCAAAATTACTGGACTCTACAAAATATACATGTCGTTGAACTTAACGACGTGAACAAAAAAGGGGGTGACAGGCTATAGCCTAAGAGTATCGAGCATAAAGTTACGCGGTCAAAACACGAGAAAATAATACTAAAAGTCATAGGCCTAAGCATTGGAATTTAAAGAAAATTTCAAATGTTTAACAAAATAATTCTCAAAACAATTTTGGTAAATAAATTACATGTAACAGATTACTTCTCTTTCTCGAAATTTCACTTTTGTATTAAATATTCTTTGCATTAGGAGTTTCAAGATTTCGCTTAGAATATTAATGCAGAAGCGATTCTAGATGTACAATTTTTATATATTTATTTTATTTTATTTATTTATTCATTTATTTATATATTTTTTGGGGAAGATTTCAGCTCTCCCAAATCCCACAAGCCGCTTCTGACTGGATGGTTAAGGGATTGAACGACGGGGGGGGGGGGGGGGGGGGGGGGGGAACAAATTATTATACACGAAACATAGTAGGTTCTCATCTACTGTAGATGAAAACAAAATTCATCACGGAACCGATCAACGCTTTAAGAATACCTAAAATACAATAAATACCATTAATTTATTGTTACTTTTCTTCATCTGTTGACTCTGTGAAAACAAAAGACAGTTAATTTTTTATTTTCCAAGCCACGTACATGCATGTTACAATAATAGAAATATGCGCATCAACATGTGTGGCAAAATTAACGACTTCAATAGTTTACATCATTATTATTAATAAGATAAAGAAGCAGCCAATCGGACTTAAATCTATACATAATGTCCATTTCAATCAGAGTTCACAAAATAAATATTGAAAAGAGGAAATGGCATCAGTTTTTATGACGTATTGCTGTAACAGTTGATCATCGTGAGAGAGAAGAATATTGCATTCACGTAAAATAATCTTATTCAATGTTTGGCGCGAAAATGTTGGCTCTCAACATATCACATGTTGCCTTGGTAATGGGGGTTGGTAGCTGGAGGAGGAGGATCCTGGCAGACCGGGGGTGCACTGGGTCCGCCCGTACCCCCCTGCAAATGGTACCCACCCTTGTCCAATAACGGAGGCGCCTGCATTTGCGCCGGTGGCACTGTCGAAACGTAAGGCGGGGGTTGGTCCACCGGAGGGGCGTAGGAGACCCCCTGAGGCGGGTACCCCATGTGCTGGGGGGACGGGTAACCCCCTGTTGCACACCCCGTGGCGACGGCTTGCGGTGCCGTGGAGATAGGCGGTAGTGCGTAAGGCTGATGATGGTGCATAGGGGGTGTGGCCGCGGCGGGGGCTTGGTGTGGGAGGTGGTGAGGTGATGGTTGATGGTGCGGTGATGGTTGGTGGTGTGGTGATTGCTGGGGGCTGGGGACCATGGCCACCTGGGGTGCATACTGCTGCCTGGGGTATGAGTTGGGTACCGCTGTAGGTGGGGCTGCTCGAGGGGTTTCACGAACGACCGGTGTGGCACTCACCGCTGTTCTAGGTCCATCTATAATAAAATAGAAACCAAATGGTGATATCAATAACAAGCTTTTACCTCCTTAATATGTAGCAAAATTAAATTATATCATGGGACATAGTATGTTTAAGCAGGATGCATTTCTTGACAAAGGCATGACATGGGTATTAAGGGCGATTATTATCATTAGTATCATTTTATTTGTGATTCTTCTTTTTTAATAATAGTCATTATTATCATTTATTTTATGGGGGGGGGGGGTCACCAGCCTTACAATAATGAAATAACAAGACCACTTCTTAAGAGAGGGTATGCGGGGAGACGGTTTTTTAAAACTTTTTTCAACCACCCTCTCTGCCCCCCCCCCTCTCTCTCTCTCTCTCCCTCTCTCTCTCTCTCTCTCTATCTCTCCCCGTTTCTTTCATTTTCCTTGTGCCATTCCACTGGGGGTGAGACAAGTGCCCCCGTACCCCTACAGCCACGCCATTTTCCTTACCGTGCCTGTAACATGCTTATAGAATGGATTATGATAACATGCAGCTAAATAATGTTATTGCCAGCTATAGTGACGATGCCATATTATTATGCAGAGTCAGTTATAAATGTGAATATAATACTGGTATAAGGTCAGGGACAAAATCAAGATTTGAAAGAAAACAAGATTAAGAATTAGAAAGTGGAGGGGGGGGGGGGGCGGTTGGGGACAAATAGTCCCGAGACCTAGGTTCCGAATGATTTCTGACAAGTAAAATAAGATAACACCCCGCCCAAATATATAGCCTATACAATAATAAATAATTTAAAAAAATTATAATAAATAAATGTATAATAATTATTATGATAAATATTTGTACAAAATATGAACAAATCGTTGTTTTAAGGTGCATTGCAGGTCCAGAATTTAAAAGGGGGCACAGCAACACAATTATTCACACATTCATGCTCTTAAGGTAAGGGTTACCAACCGTCTGTGTCACCTAAATTCGCTACTGATCATGCTGTTTGAATTTTTGCAAAATTCGCAAAATAAATATATGATAATTCGTCCTTGTTTTCACGAAGTGACGGTAGTGAGGAAAAACGTAACGCAAAGTGAATGCAATTTTTTTTTCACTACCGTCACTTCGTGAAAACAACGACGAATTATTATGATAAATATTTTTAAAATATGAACAAATTGTTGTTTTAAGTCGCATTGCAGGTCCAGAAGTAAAAAGGGGACACAACAACATAATTCACACATTCATGCTTTTAAGGTATGGGTTAACGGCCGTGTGTGTCTCTTAAATCCGCCACTGATCATGCTGTTTGAATTTTTGCGAAATACGCCTGAAATAGTCTTGCCCTAAACATTCTTCGATTCAACTCTTCACGAAGTTATAGGCATGTGAAGTCTTTCGATGTAACCAGAATTAAAGATGCATTTGTAAATAAAACATGCATGACGATGCTGTCACAAACACCATTCCGATGCGTCTTCGTTCCTTCTCGTTCTCGCATTCCACATCCGTTCTCTCACTTACGTAGATGTCTGATAACAGGAATGTGAGACAAGGGTACAATACGTCCAAAGAGGCTCGGACCTCGAGCCCTCGCAACACCGTTAGCGGGATACGTACTGTAAGCCACAGCCGACTGGCCCGGGCCGTTGGCCCTCATGCTCCGTCGTCGCGTCTCCTTTCGTTTCCAGCAGCAACATGAGCAACAGCAGCAACAGATGATGATCCCGATGATGACAGCGATGACGATGGCGATGGAGCCGCCGACAAAAGCGCCGATGCTGTAGGAGAATACGAGGAGAATATTATTAAATTATCTATTCATTTTTATTTTTTTGGAGGGGGTTAATATAAAGGGAAAAGGTGTTGATTTAACCGTGGACCTATATACTTCGTAGTAGGTCCATGGGTTAACCACAGTTCACAATTTATCAATAATTTGCTTTAAACATAATCATACGTTATTTGAGAGGATAATATTGTGATGGGATTCAATTACCAGTACCATTACAGACAAATTCTAGATATGTGGGGAAAGGCAACAAAACAATATAGCTAAGTATAAACACTTTTTCTTTTATAGAAATTACCACACTCTCCCCTGAAAGTAAAAATCTACTATCATCATTACTACGTATAAGATGACAATAATGAATAAGAAATGATAGAAAGTATAAACTTGTTTTTAATTTCGTTTATTACAAAGAAATAGAAAAACAGTGAATATAGTCAAAGGAGAAAGATCATGACTGAAACGCCCCCCCCCCCCACAGCAAATATCAGTGCAGAATAGAGAGAGGTTGGGGAGAGAGAGGGGGGGGGCAAATGTTTACACACAGCACGCTGCATAATAATCCCGAAATAAACTTGATTACAACCATGTGGTTTATCTTGACTAGCAATACTTGCGCAGCTGAAAAAGTAGTTGCCCATGTGAATTTGACAAGTGAATAATTATATGCACGAGGTGCCGCAGCTCGTGTCTTGCTAAACACATCTAACGTCTAGCATGTTTACGATGCTCACAGGGGGGAAACGAGAAGGGTTATGCATGACTTGTAGTAAATCGTGTGACGAGCATAATATTATCACAGGTACCCGTAGTGGAAAAAGACACTAATCGTGCAGGAAAATGTTATTATCTTAAATCTAGTCTTCACAAAGAAACTTAACTTATAGTAGAAGGGGGATTACAGTAAATCTCAGTGACGGATCCAGGGCGGGAAGGGACGCGTGCTCCCCCGATTAACCCTTATTTGGCTACCTTAAAGCACACAAAAGTAACCAAAAAAGTAGAAAAGGTGCACACAACTGCATTCGTGTGCCTCCCCCGAAACCGGTAGATGTAAACATAAAAACACGTCAAAGTAATGTGAGGATTTTGAAAAAATCTATGCCGCCCTCCCCCCCCCCCCCCCACCCCGCTCCCTTATAGAGAATCCTAGATCGGCAACAAAATGTTGTTATTTTCAAATGCTGATAGGATACCTCCTGAATTATAAATTGGATAAAGATAGCACTGTGGCAAAAACATCAACCTAGCTTTTATGATGAAGGAAAGAGAGATAGTACACAACTTATGACTGATATAGTACTTTACGATCTAACGTAGATAAAGCCGAAATGAGTATGCGTGATGGTACAATGAGGGAGTGATTATGCTTTCATGCGTGGGTGAGAGTGTACTTAAGATGTAAATATAAGGGTGCAAGGGGGCCATCCCTCAAAATTCAATCATCAACTAATTGAGATTAGATTAACATCAACGCAATATCCACTTCTACGACGTAATGTATACAGTGCAGTCTTTCTTCAAAATATTTAATGAGCTTCAACACAGTTCAGGGCATATTTTATGTGTCCTAGCGGTTAGGCCTATGTCAGATTGGGTTTTAAAGGGGGATGCATCTTGTACCAATGACTATTTTGCAAAGCAAAGCAAGATTGTAGATGCAAAGGGAGGGTCAGTGTACACCCCAAGTATGGTCCCTGCGGTATACCTACCGAGATGGTGTAACACGCTGATCGGGCTCGCAGTATATAGCTAACCGGAGATGAGCTCGTATTCATCGACCGCCTACAGAGCCCCAACAGAGGAAGACGGGAAAAAAATCCCAATTTCTCTCTCTTTCTGTCTGTCTGTCACTCTCTTCCTCAATTTTTTTTGTATCCTCCCTCTCTATTCTTCCCCCTCTCTCTATCTATCTTTTTCATTCTCTCCGTCAGTCTCTCCTTTTATCTCCGTATATCTCTCCGTTTTTCTCTCCTTAATTTCTTTTATTTCTCTACTTCTTTCCTCATCCTTTTTGTTTGTTTTTATCTTAGTCCCTCCTTCCCTCACCCCGCTCCATCCCTTTCCCTTCCTTCACCCCCTCCCTTTCTCATTTTTCCTCCCTCTCCCACACTCTTTCATTTCTACCCAACCCCCTGTCTTTCTTTCATACTCCTTTTCTTGCTGTCTTTCTCCATCACGCGCTCTCTCTCTCTCTCTCTCTCTCTCTCTTTCTCCCTCTTTCACCCCCTCCCTCGCTTCCTCTTACTCCCCTTTTCACTCTCTCACTCTCTCTCTCTCTCTCTCTCTCTCTCTATCTATCTATCTCTCTTCCAATATATCCTCCATGCAATATGACCTTTCCCCTGTCCTATAATGCAATGGGTAATTCTGCATCAATCATCTAACTCTGCATAATCCCGATCTGTGATTTTAGAATTTTGAAATCCTGTCTTGAGACGTAACATTGGGGCGAGGGTGTTGAAGGAGAGTGAATGGTGTGTGTGCGTGTTCGTGTGTGTGCATGTGTGCGTGTGTGTGTTTGTGTGTGTGTGTGTGGGGGGGTGATGATGCTGATTATGATTATAAAGATTTGCAGAAGAAGAAGACAAAGAAGATGATGATGATGATGACGGCGATGGCGATGATGATGATGATGATGATGGTGATTGTGATAAAGATCATGATGATGATGGTAGTGGTGGTGGTGGTGGGAATGATGATGATGAGGGTGATGGCGATGATGATGATGATGATGATGATCATGATGATCATAGTAGTGATGAAGATCATAAAAATGATGGTTGTGGTGGCGGAGGTGGTGGTGATGATGATGATAATGGCGATGTTGGTATAATAAGGTGATGATAATGGTGATAACGATGATGATGATGACTTATTTTACCTGACTGTAAGAAATTAGGAACTGTACTTTTGTGTAGATAAACCAACAAAATAACTGCGGATTAATATCGTATCATCCTGTTCAATGAACTTTGGCATTGGGAATTATTGCCTTCATCAAAGAGTATAGTGCATTGGGACTACATGACTATGCACAGGATTACATTTTGTGAAGGTCACACAATAATTAGCGCTCGGTCAATAAAAATCCACGACTTTTCGTATATAATTTTTTTTTCTACGACTGGTTCTTGGAAGGGCTCTGAAAAATTATGAGTATATCAAAGGGATAGTCCACCAAATTTTGCATTTGAGCTGTGTTTATTTCTTCAACCTTTATTGGGAAAAAAAAGGGATTGAAATCTCCTGAAAGGACTAATCAATCTTATTTATCCTTTCTTTTATTTGGAAATATCGAGGACATCAAGTGATCTTCTTTTCGTATCTAATCAAATGAGGACATTTTTCTTAAATGTGCATTACTGTTTACAAAGATAAATTTATACTTACAGTATGATTGAAGAGAAATGACGGTATACAGAAAGGGTTGACCACTAACCACAGCAAAACTTACACAAATTATATTATGCGATGAACTTTTTGTTCATACCTGCGTCGTACATAGAGTTGCCAATAATGTTAGAAATATCTTTTTAATGGAAAAATTTAATATAATGAATATTATGATGGAAAAGTTTTTCCCTTTTATATTATAAAATGCAATCATTTCAATATAATTGTACATATCATTTTTCATATTGTTCACTTTATGGCATTGCAGAGTTGCAAATTCGTATTGTGGCATACCAAGGATCTCTTGAAATTAATAATTTGTTAATATAATTTGTTTGTTTTCTTCCGAAGTGTATAGTTTGACCGTTCATTTTTCGTTTTCGTATACTTTAATTTCCGAACCGATAAAAGAAAAATAATAACTTTATTCACTTTCAGCATGAGATCGAGACGAACGATTCATTTAAAGGCTCGAATTTCTATGGACCTTCTAAATATATACCTTGGAATCTCTATACATGTATTTTTTCAACTATGATACTTGGGGATGGGTTTTCCCCCTTTAAATGGAAGCTTACAGCGTGATTACACGACTGGGTAGTTCGTTAAACCGGGAGCGAATCGGAGGCAGAGGGAGGAGAGCCGGGGGTCGATTTCAGAATTGATTAATCCATATCTCGGTATCCGTCTCGAGGTATCCTTCAATATCCTTGCAAGAAATCACGAGATGGGCTGATCGAAGGGTATTTCACAGATTCATAAGCATACTCTCCTTCATGTACGTAATCATAATATTATTGAGAGAGCTGGGGGTTATATGGAAGAGGGAGAGAGGGGAGATTGAGAGAGAGATGGGGAGGGGAGGGAGGGGAGGAGGGAGGGGAGGGGAGGGAGAAAGGGAGGGGAGGGAGAGAGAGAGAGAGAGAAAGAGAGAAACAGAGAGAGAGAGAGAGAGAGAGAGGGGGAGAGAAGGAGAGAGAGAGAGAGTGGGAGGAAAGGGAGAGAGCGTGAATAGGGAGGGGAAGACAAGAAAAGAGAACAAATATGGGAGACAAGAAAGAGAGGAATAAAGATAGAGAATGATAGAAATATAGACATACACAAGGAGGAGTTGTATAGAAGTTAATAAATAGAGAGTGGAGAGAGAGAGAGAGAAAGAGAAAGAGAGAGAGGGAAAGAGAAAGAGAGAAAGAAAAAAAAGAAAGAAAAAGAGAAAGAGTGAGACGGGGTGGACAGATTATAGGGACTCACGAAAAGACGTACTGACATGCAGACAGAAAGATAATTAAAAAGTAAGATATACTGCAAGGGTTATAGGAGTGAACACTGACAAACAAAGGAATTGTGATTATTGTTCTGTCCAGGGTCGATTCTAGACTATTTTTTGCGTTCATTTTCTCCATATATGCCTCGCTCAAATCAATTCGCATGTGTAGAATCGTGATTTTTTTTCCTTCCCCTTCTAAAACTACTACTAGTTCTGTTATCGCTTCGTTTGGGTTGCCACTCGTCTATTGTTGAAAATACGACATGATTATTAAGGCTCCGTCAAATTCGTATCACAGGAAAGATAGGAATGATATTACTTCGTCATAATTAAAGCCTGCATATTAATAATTCTCTTTCATTTACGATGCAGTCTAACTCATAGCCAAACTGAACCGTTAGTACTTTATAAAAGTTCCCATGTTTTGTAGTACAGTGTTGCAGCTGTTAACAAGTAAGTTAGTGTAGTAATGTAATAGAAAGTTTTAGTAACAAATTCATAGGCACGATTGCATTATAAGGAATAAAAAGTATGCTACAATGCAATTGATTTGAATAGCATGATCATAATGCACGTAGGACTACCCTTCAATATTGCTGTAGCTGTATTCGTATTGTTATCGGAACCGAAGTAGTACATGATTATCGTATACTTTACTACACTGTTTTATACCAGAAGCAAAATGTAAGAAAACAGAAAGGAATAATATTACACAGATACATTTTAAGGTAAACCGTTCGCATCCTCATAATAATCTCATAATTTAACCTTATATATTTGCACTCTCGAGCATTCTTGGTGACCTTAACCAGATTCGATATGACAGATATTGACAGCATGGTTGAGAATGTGATGCAGCATTAAACTCGATGGGGTGCCACGGCGTCAAGTGATTCAACTATCTATGATATTTTAATACCCGCCCATTATCATAAGAACAAACGTATACGAAGGATCATATACGGTTTATTAAGGGTTCATAAGTAAATTCAAATGTTGTCAAATGTACTAATCAAGTATACCCTGATGAAAATGAAAGTTTTTGAACTGTGTGTAAATCTTGATATTTCAATCTGTTTTGCTTTCTACTTTGTTTAGTATATTTTATTTCATTTTGTTTGTTTGTATGTTTGATTATCCTTCCGATATCAACACCGTAGATTGACTATGCGCATGGCCATCAACATAATAATTGAATAGTGGACATGCTTATAACTTCACAGAAAACTTAGACGTTGCAAACCTACACTGTTTCGCACTAAAATAACATTAATCAAATCACTTTAGGAAATTAAATAACGCCCCACTTCCCGAACGATCAATCATAGAGTCATTTCTAAATAGTACGACATTTGCAGTTTAAGAATGCGTCGAAAACAATCATTATTGAAGCCTGATAATACTTCAGTCAATCAAATGTGAATCTCATTTCCAAAGCCATACTTATCAGCTCTCTATATACTTTCTTGACTCGTATCATTCTTTCTTATCTCCTGACGGTTTTGAGAAGCCTATTTCTTTCATCATGGCCATCTGATTGAAAAAAAATTCTTTTTTTCTTCATATTTTTGTTTTCTTAATTTTGATTTTGCGGAACGGGGCAGCAAAAAAATGAAATTCGAGGTTATTCTGATTGTTTTGAGAAGCCTATTTCTTTCATCATAGCCATGCATCTGATTGTGAATCTATTCCTCTATTTTCATATTTTCGTTTTCATTTTAGGGAACGGGTAGCAACAAATGGAATTCGAGGTTATTTTGACGCAAGCAAAGGAATTTTATCAATTTGTCACGTGATGTCATGTGATCTCGCTCTTGAGAATCAGATGGCCTCAAGGGAGATCATATTACTTCCCACAATTCAATGCGAGACAAAGGGCAAATATCAGCTTATGACGTCATTCAATTATCAATTTGATCACCGGCCCGCCGTGCAATCTTGTCATTGCTACTAGATACACATAAAGTAAAACAAGATTTAAGAAAATTCAAGATTCACCAAAAAAAGAAGAAGAAGAAGAAGAAGAAGAAGAAGAAGAAGAAGAAGAAGGAGAAGAGGAAGAAGAAAAAACAGAAAACAGCGTCTATTTTTTATTATCATCTTTTTTATCCATTACTCTTTGAGAATAATAAAAAATAAAATGATGCAATTCTCTTTACACCGAACGCATTCAATAATAAACACATTTCTATTCGATATTCTAAACCTAATATGATTGTAAGTAATCCATAAGATACTGTTTACACTATATTTGCAAGCTCTTCAGGTTTAATTACAGCGACAGGGCGGCACCCATGACACAACACTAGCTTTGGGTTACCGTGTTGAAAGTACGCTGTAAGCACGTATGCTAGTCACACAGTCACCTGGGCAAGCAGCCTGCATATCACCTTCCCAAGAATAATTGGAAGATGGGTATTGATCAAGGGATACTGTGGCCTGTGGGACAATCACCCCACCCCCATTTTGAAATAACATTCGGAATGTTCTACCTCCCTAACTACGCTGGAGGATGGGGGGGGGGGGGGAGGCTGTTACTGCCCTTACTCGAAGAAAAAAAAGTAATTTAAATTTACAAGGCTACTGATTATGGCAGGGTACAAGGAGGTGGCCCAGACGTCAAGATTCTTTTCTCGTTCCTTTTACCCACCTACTTTGCCTTTCTCGCATTTTATTTCTTCTGTTTTTAACATCAGTTAATATATGAGAGGGGCACGTGTCGTAATGACATTGCGTTAACTCATGCGACAAACAGTCGATTTTCCCCCTTCTAAACATCACACTACAGCACATCAAAACAAGGACAGTCGTATAAGAGTGGAACCCTAGTTTTAAGACGTTACAGATCCCCATTTAAATAAAGTAACGTACACAAACTAACCAAGACTGCCCTATAGGTGGTGACCCACTTCTAACACAACCCTCTCTAATCCTGCATGGTGTAAGGTAGTGTAAAAGATCTGCTAAATAAATCTTGAGCATGAGTGTGCATGTACTGCTCCCAATTTTTAGAGACACCGAGACACAGCGCACGTGATATGGCAAGCATCCCTCGGTACGCACCAATACAGGGGCATCTATAGAATTTTGGAACGAGGGAGGCAAGTGGCGGCGGCGGTCGGGAGAGGGGCAGGGGTTGTCAGACCAAATTTGTTAGAAAATTAGAGGTGGTGGTGGTGGTAAGGGTGGGGGAGGAGGTGGAGGTGGTTATGACCTTTCAGCGACACCCTTAGCAAGCATAATTCACTTCAACATTCCAGTGTCGTCTAAGCTGTTGTTTCGTGATAGCTGCACCGCCATTAAGAACATGTAATATTCATCCTAACATCACGTAATTCGTTAACATTATCACTCACGGTGATCATACCGTCATTCAATTAATTTTCATGTGATTTCCTGTCTGAACCCTCGATCGAATCTCGTCGTCATAGACACGGGGAAAATACATTTTTTGGAAGAAGGCCATGATTACCGAAGATTAACCTCCCCATGAATTTTCGTAGGTTTCCGTGCAATCAGTAACTACATGAGGCACGTGTGTTTCGATTTACATTGCCCCGTGCAGGGGCGGATCCAGCAGGCCGAATAAGCGGGGGGGGGGGGGGGGGGGGTTAGTTTGCACCATTTTGGGGGTGGGGGTTGGGCTGAACGGGGGGGGGGGGTATGGAGCTCGATTTAAAAACATATTACTCAGCGCCCCCACCCCTTTGAGCAACAACAACAAAATTAGTGGTCACTAATGGATCCGCCCCATGACTGGGGTAAGGTTGTGTCATAAATTGAAAGAAAAATTAATATTGACTGAAAGTACATTAGAATCGTTAACATGGATAGATTATTGGTAGAAAATCAATTACAATTGGGTTATGACATTTCATCTCGTGTCAATTCTAGATTTCGTACAAACAAAGAGAAAACACAACTAAATGGATTAGGGTGAAAGCGTTAGGCTATGATTATTAAGATTCAACTTGTTGAATGGCATATTATGCAAGTACAAATTAGTCATGTATACAACGCAGTTCTAGAATTCATATAGCCCCAACGTAGTCGCCTTTCTATTAAGATTTTTTTTGTTGTAATTGTTTCGTCCGATTAAAAAAAGCCAGAAGGGCGTTATCTCTATGTAAAAATAATATGGGTTAATGTCCTTCTGGCCCTATAAAGATGGTTCCTCCGGCTTATGTTTGATGATTGGTGTTGAACCAATATCATGTAAAAAGGGGATTATGTAAAAATTAGGTTTTCCCTTTCATATACCTTCAACATGATTACCTGCGAATGCTTGACAGGATTTCACATCGTTTCCAAATCTTTGGTCATTATTTAATATGAAGCAAAATTTAAAAAAAAATCTTACTCGAAATGTTCCAAGAAGTATCCAGTTGGTTCACTGCAGCAGTATTTATTGGTTGAAGTTCCACAGCAGTAGACATTGTTCAGGGCTTCTCTTACAGCGTCAGGTCCGGGGCAGTGTGAACTGGTGTGGTAGGTCCCGCTTTCATCCACATAAGCTTCGCAGAATTCAGCGGCTATCGAATGGGTGAAATTAAGGAAGAATGATATCAATAATAACGTTTTAAGATTCTACGTTTATTCGTCCATAGTAGTCCATTTAGGGTTGTTCACTGGCTTGGTGCCAATATTTATAGGTTGAAGTCCAACAGCAGAAGACATTGTTAAGAGCTTCCCCTATGGAGTTGGGCCAGGGGCAGTGAAAACTTGACATTGTGTGGTAGGTGCCACTTTCATCCACATAAGCTTCGCAGAATTTACCGGCTATCAAGGGCAAAGAACAAGCCACAAGGAAAAATAATTAACGACTAAATAAGTTCTACTTCTATGATAATTACCCTACAGTAATGAACATTTCTAGCGATGAGAGCAAAGGCATTAATATTACTCACAGATTTCTTTGAGAGAAAAAAGTTCAATAGTATGTAAAGGAGTGTATATAGGGCAGCGCAGGGACGTGATAGAGAAGGACTGGAATCAAGCCGCTCTCCTTTGACCCCATGCTCCAAGCCGCCGAAAAGTTATGCGCTAATCTGCAACTGTTGACCAGGTGGTGAGATAAAAGAGCGCATGAAATTTCAGGAGTTAGAATTCCTACATCAGAAAATGGTATCACTGCAACTGTTCGCTGTCCCTTCCAATGATTTCTCATCCATTGTTGAATGTGTAAAGAGTAGAACAAGCGAACACAAACTTGTGTACTTTCACCCTTTTTTAAACTTGAAAAATACAAAAAACACGCGAAAACACGCATTGGCAAACTTAATGTTATTGAAGATTGTAAACCATGGATCAAATAACGGGACATTAAAGCATGCACAAATTAGCGCATCATCCTAAAATATTGAGTTTTTGACAGGATGTAATTTTTCTTTTACAAACTCTGGCACACAAATTAAAGGAAGGACGGAGTTTTAAATTTGAAAATTTGTTTGATGCACTATTCCCAATAAAATCCCCATATAAAGTTTTTTATTTACACTGAAATTTTGCCGGTAATTTAATATTTTGTAATAAATGTAAAACTGGTGCCTGGCTTCCGAAAGTCCCCGCAGTGGAAGCGCGGTTCGGAGCATGGAACTTCAAAGCCAAGTGGAATGTTACACATCCCATTGTTACGCTTTAGAACTCAAGAATGCGTTTGAATAAATTACAAGAGTTTCGCCTCCTTTTCTTTCACCTCCCTGGGTAGCGTAACGCGAGCTCTGCCATGCATTGCTGGGTATTATTGAGGGAGCCTCTATCGTAATAGATGGATGTGGATTTACAAGGCTACCGATTAGAGGGGGTGTGGGAGGGACCCTCTTCTTTTCACTTTCCCTTTTCCCCTCCCTTTCCTTATCTCTTCTTTTCTCTTTTTCTGTTTTTCGTGTTTTGCTACTCGATTAGGAACATGTGCCCTTTCGTACCCCTGTAGCTAAACCACTGGAAAACATGGTAATGAAGGAAGAGGCGTCATTGTTCCTTAAATTGCCGTGAAATGAGACAAAGTGCCAACAATAATAGTACAGTATTATTGAAGCCAAAGACATAATGGATGTGATCAGCAAATCGAACATAATTCTCAAATGAGAGCTTTTAATAAGCTCAAGACAATATTGGTTGCATCCTAAATGGAACAGTGACAAATTGTTCGTTTTACGTATATATCGGTCTGAAATTTCAATCGAAATATAACATGTTTGTGTTTAAAATGTCCATGTCCATTGCACGTTAAATCTATTTAACAGGTGGCTTCTCGTGGCTCAATATACGAGTATAATGAAGTGCTTTTTTTGTTATGCATAACATTATATTTTACGTTCATGTCTAATTGTCAAACGCGTATCAAAAGATATTTTTCGAAATTTAAAGCTTGTGGGCAAATTACCGATGACATATTTTTTCTAATGTTGGAAATTTATTATTTTGTAAATCTGTCGGCAAACTTAAAGCTTATCTGCCGTAGTTTACAGGAGGGATTAGACCGCTCTGCAAGGTCACTGGACAGGTTGTTATCTCATCAACTCAGCTCTCATTTAACATAAGAAAAAGAGGATCATGGGGGACCAATGGTCACCGATTAGGCATTGTTCGTTATATAGAGGGCGCAAGTAGCTACCAGTAGTGCAGTGGGCCTTTAACTGTTTAATACAAAAAGCAGCTTATACAAATGCACATGTCTCTCGTTTTTCTTATACTTTTTTAAGCATAGAACTAAAATAGAATACATTCATATCAATCAACAAAATGTGATGACTTTTGCAAAGAAAAAACTAGAAACGCAAAGGGAACAAAGAAGAGTCAAAATCTGGCCAAACAAAGAGAGGTTATGAATCAGATGACAAAGCACTACTCATCATATGATTGGGTAGTCAGGGAATGTTGGGTTAAATCCACAAACGACATTTAGTTGTGACATTAAAGAGCTTCTTTATTGGCCGTGATTTCTAAGAATGGCCCCAGTGAAAGAAAGAGACAACTGAAAAGTTGAAAGTGATGGCGGTCTCCTCACTCTCCTGCACTTTAAATGTATAATACTATATTATAGAAATATTGAGTTCGTTATAATAATATTATGTAAATCACATTTGACATGAAGTTATTATTTTTGTTCCTATATGTATCATAACTTATACGTTTACAAGTTCTTTGTTTCAGTTTGTGCATTTGGAAAATGCAGAAATCAAATCAAAACAAATCAAAACAAATTAAATTATTAAAAGAAATGTCCTGGAAAGAAAATTAACTTTTGTACAGTTTACTTACTCGTACCACCCTCTCCTTTGAATACTTCGGGTAACTCCGGTATATCGAAATCCATCTCGTATAAAATCCAAGCTAAAACTTGACAATATCCACTATCTATTATCCAAGAAAACAACCTAAAGGAATGCGGGAATATTATCCCATCACTACATGCATGACTTCTGTAATGAAATGCACTGCAGAAACATGGTCTACGTTCAGGTTATGCGGAGCTCTGTGCCAAATCAGCAGAGTTGTCCTAAACGGGCAGAAGGGGTAGTTTAGAGTCTCAGCCTCGCCACCAGAAATAACCATTTAGTTGTTAATTATAAACTGCGTGCTAAATGGACGGTGCTTTGTGCTTGCTTAATTCACGTCCTTGTACTGTTCGGGTGTGAAAGATCTCTTTTGCGCCACCGGGACTGGGGGATCAAACATGTTTATGAGTCAACCCCGCAACAAGAATACCTAAACTTCCTTGACGTGGGGGCAATGAATGGCCCTGTTCACATTTCATCTGTCGGTTCAGTTTATTGATATCACCTTATTCATGAAATTTACAAACTTTTGAATGTGGTATATATAAATTTCATACATGCATTTAACATTCATGAAAAAATGGAATAGTGTTGGATATCGATTAGTCTATATAGGAGAACTTTAAAGCTATATTAAGTTTTATAGATTTATTTTCTTTGTGACTTCGAGGGATGCACGACTGGATCGCTTGTATATTTTGTACCCCTTCCTGAATCATAACTAATAATACATTATTGCTAAGAAATGAATAAAAAATGTCTAGTTTTTTTTTTAATCAAGAAAAACTATTTATTCCTATTACGGACTCCTCATGGGCTATCCAAGCAAGTCATATAGTTTCTTTTTCTTTCTTTTTCATTTTTGTTCTTCTTATGGACCACACACCGCATTAAAGTCAGGCTGGTAGAATGATATCAAACAAAACATGAATGTTTGGTAATTTGTATTTTCGTATGTGAACGGTTCCACAATTTCAAGCTTTCATAATTATAATCATTATTAGCAAAGCGAGAAGACGCCCAGTTAACACGAAGGGGTTCATTTTAGGGACATAGAAGGGGAAAACCGCTGGCCAGAGCAGGATGTTAAATTATTCCCGTCCGAGGTTTTCAAAAACTCTGAGAGCAACAACAATATTATTGTGACGTAAAGGTGTGTGTCTGAAATAATAATTAGTCCTTTCCATGTACAGTCGTTCACAGTTTGAACATATCACTTAATGTCATGTTCTGGCGTATAAACAGAAAAACGTTTATTTCTACAAGTGTAGTTACTGCGTGCATGTCATTTGAACGTGCGTGAATCCCCCCTCTTCTTCTTCTTCTTCTTCTTCTTCTTCTTCTTCTTCTTCTTCTTCTTCTTCTTCTTCTTCTTCTTCTTCTTCTTCTTCTCCTTCTTCTTCTCCTTCTTCTTCTTTTTCTTCTTTATTCTTTTCATTATACTTTAAAACAAAATTATAGATTCGTTACTGATTACAGCTGTAGATATTACATTTGTTTCTTTAACTTTTCACTTAAAACCTTTTCTGATGATAGTGAGATCAAATCCTTGATTATTCTAATTCTAAGTAAAATTGTCAAACCTGATTGGTCACTCAAAACAAATATCTTAATATTCGTAAACATATAGGTTTCCAACATGATTTTAATGTTATGATTTCCTTAGCCACACTTCGTGATTGATTTACATTTATTTATTTATTTATTTATTTATATTTGTCTCTAGTACCTTGTCAGAATTCCAATGTGTTATTTAATGGTCAGTCAAAGATAATTAGGGCATTTAATCAGTGTTCTTGTGTGATATATATATATGTGCAAACGCTGCTTGATAATAAGATGAATCAGGGCCGGATCTACAGGGGGTAAGGGGGTTTACCTCCCCCCCCCCCCTCCCCTTGGACTGCCAAGTGAAAATATGATGTACACAGACAAACTGTGTACTAAACTGTCACTTGATAAAGAAATTATCATGCACTGTTTTCATGGTCTTCATTGTGTCAGTAGATGCCAGGAAAACATCACTTACGGCTTACGGGGGTTCTAAATAGCCCCCCCCCCCTAAAAAAAAAAAAATCGCCTCGCCACCTCGCGGCTCGTGGACGATTCGGTCACCCCTCCCCCCCCCCCCCCCCCTTAGCAAAAAGCTAGATCCGCCCATGTGAGTGTATGGCTAAACAGAGCAGGCCAATTAGGTAACGGGAAAGTGAATTATATTATGATACCATAGAAAGAAGTTTTTTTTAAAGAATGAAAATACTCGCCATTTTCCTTCTCCAGTACTTTTTGCTGGAGCAACCCCCCCCCCCCCCCCACCGTGACACATGCACTCCGTTTGAAGACCCCCCCCCCCCCCCCCGCCACTCCCCGTCCTCGTTATAATTAATTGTAGTGCACTGTGTTATAGTCACATTATACATCTTTTTCTGAAGGGGATGATGCCCCCTTTTTTTAATTTCGGGAGACGCCACCCCCCCCCCCCCCCAAAAAAAAAAAAAAAAATGTATATATATATATATATATATACATAATTGACTAGAGTAGAGTGTAATGTATAGATCCTGGCAACATGGTCTGAACTATAATTATGTAAAAACATGTTTTAATCAAAATCTTCAATCACTGATAACATACTATGTTATCAGTGATTGCTTATTAAGCATTTCATGATCATAACAAATTCACTAATCAAACGAGATTCCAGAAATAATTAGCATCTTACCTGTGTGAATGACCCAGGATAAAACCTGTGAGATGATGAAGAAAGCACTTAAAATCGTCTTACTATCCAAGAAAGACATCTCCTCAACTGCATGCGACCCGCATCAATATACCACTATCCACCGTACGACGTATATAGTAAGAAATCCTTATCGCTGTAACAAGCAAAGTAAATCCAAAATATCAAATCCTCAAAATGGGACGTCTCTTTTGTCACAAAAAGGAATAATCCACATGTATCGATTGTTCCACTGTGCAAATAATGATGCAGTGTTTAAATGCCCGTCAATGAATGTTTAGCGTGTTCATGATAGTAATGATTCTGCCCCGATGCGTCTTACATGTATATACGCAAACATGCAGGTAATCATGTCGTCCACTTGGAAAAGTGATCAGACGATCGAAGCGAATTTATAGCTATACTCCTTGAGGGGAAAAGGGGGCCTAAACCTCACGGGGCATATCGTATATAGAGAAGGCTTTCCAGAAGATGGACGCAGGCGACTGGTAGGTGGACCTGCGTAATGAATTGGAATTGGAGAAATTGGTAGAGTTATTACGTTAAAGCCGATCACGATGATTTTCAATAAATCGACTCAAGGAGATGTCAGACTAACGTCTGTTTGGAGCCAGAAGCGCTTTAACTTATATGCTTTAACACAGATATTTACCACTGTGTTAAAATGCCCTTCTGGTTCCGAACAAACGAGATGTTATTGCTTCTAGAAAAATTATGGTCGGATTATATAAGGGGTCACTTTAATGTTCTCACATTTTAATAGTGATAGACATGATTCTGAAATATTTATGTTACTGAAAGTCTTTGTGATCACGTTGGTACTTGACTTATCATAGACATAAAATTGAATGTGCATCACTAAAATCATTTACACATTCAATTTTATGTCACATGACCCGGCCTTCGTAGTCGTAACAGTGGCCCAAAACATTGGCATCATATTCCTGTACAGCAAATGTTTGTATTCGTTTCAATGTTCCTATTAAAATATGTTATCGAAATTGAAATTGATAACAAATCAACCCGCCCTAAACAAGCAAAATGTAAGTAATGAAGGAGGTAAGTGTGTGTTATTTCATCTCCATAATTGTGTTTATTCATGCAGATACATTTCAAGAAAGATTAAAGCTTGTAAGGATATATTCTTTTCTTTTGTCATTTTCACTATCTTTTCACGACTGTTATCATGAAGTTTTGAACAAGTTGAGAGAATTGCATGTAAATTTAAATATTAATGTTACAAAACAGATGAAAAGAGGCGTATAAGAAAGAGATATTGTGTAAGGGGAAAATGAGAAGTAATTATCCATGAACGGAATATGTTTGAAGTCATATAGCCCTCTTAAGAGAAACAGAATATATATATTATTAATATTTGTTTGGTATTGTAATTTTTCCTATGAATTGTTGTTTGTGCCTTAAATAACAAATTACATAACTATGTCAATGAACATACGTGTCTATTCTTATTTGAGTTTTTCTTCTAATTAAACATACGCTCAATGTGATAGTAGCGTAATAATTATTTTCTTCAATATCCATCCACAAATAAAATATAATGCTTGTTACATAGATGGCGCTCTACTGAGTGAAGTCTTGAAGAGATTGAGGTACTGTATTTTTGTTGGACTATATCGCTTGTTACTTGTGTTTCTCATAGATGTGGAGATATCTCATAGATCATTTAAAAAAAGCTTTTGTTGTACGAGTTGTGAGTTATTAGGATCACAGTGCTGTATAATGATGTCTAAGCGTTGTATAATTAAGTCTACGCGCTTATATAAGAACACATGTACTAGTATACATTATAAACATCTCTCTCTTTCTCTGTTAAGCCTCTCCCTCCCTTCTTCCCCCTTCTCTTTTCTCTCTTCTCCACACTCCCTCTTTCTCTCTCTTTATATACACATATTCTCTCTCTCTATCTCTCTCTCTATCTCTCTCTCTATCTCTCTCTCTCTCTCTCTCTCTCTCTCTATATATATATATATATGTATTTTCTCTCTCCTTCTCCCTCCCACTCTCTCTGTGAACAGAATCAAAGATAACTTTTAAATATCTGAGCTAAGAATACACAAACGTTATTAACTTGGTAGAAAGTCATGAAATTCCATTATATAAAAATCTCTTTATTACTCATATATCTTTTAAAATTCCATCAAAATAAATATTTTTTTTCCAGCTCTCTTAAATGTAATATTTACACAAGCTAGCGAAATGAAAGAATCCAACATATAGCAATTTTACACCATAGACCAAGAATGTTTACTGGAAGAACAAGTACTATTATTTCTTTGTGTTTATATACCTCGACCCTTTTTTCCCACCAACATGGCAGCAAGCAAAATATGTAGTTATGAATATAGGTACAGAGATTACATACAAGTAGACTATATCTATTGCACACCATAGAACAATAGGAAAAATGAAACAGCTGAAAATACTGATTAGATGGAACAATATAGCCTCATCCTGAAAATACTGTAACATCAAGATAGCCCGGAGTAAAATCAGTTCCAATACATGCTTACTCCCATGATAGATTGTTTATTTATGTTTGATGTGGGGTTGTGTATCTAGATGCTACACAAAAATAAAATTGGTCGCTTTTGCCATGGAATTTAACAAAAAATATTCATCAAATAAAATCTACAGTCATAACTATTTGTCCTTTACATTTTTCAGAATTTAAAAATATTTAATAAATATTGTTGTAAATTTCTTCAAATTAATGTTTGAAAAATCTTGGGGAATACATGATGCAAAGTCAATACAATGATCAATCCCAGTAAGACTACCAAGTAAGGCACAATACCAACTGACACTTATTTCAAAACATATAATACAAAATAAATAATATGCCAGATAATCCAACATTTGACAAATAGCACAGGAAAGGAGGGGGTGGGAGGAAAAAGAAGGGAGGCAAACTTTTTTATCACATTGACTCAGTAACATTGTTGAAGGTTGATGAAAACACTGTAATTTTTGTATGAAATGTTACTTAACATATTTCATCTACTGTACTAACCCTCTAACATGCAAAAAATCCTTTGAAAATTCTCAAACCACAAAGATATACTTATGGTTTTCTTTGAAGGCATCACTGTGCAACGCCCTTTAACTGTAAATTATCCCAACCATTTTTGAATTTTTCCAACCGTTTTTCCATGAAAATAAGACATAAGACAGGATTTATAAAATCTGTCAACACTGAAATGACTGGAATGGTATGTAGAGCCAATTCATTGCTTTGTGGCAATTTACATTCACCTAAAATGTTATTAAATTGTAATAATATAGTTGGGAGCATTAAGGAATCAATCAGATCAGTGTCCACCAATTTGTATCATTAATAATGGTTTGTTTTTACTAAAACTTTCAGATTATCTTTAATTGTACATCTAGCATTGAAGTCACTACCTTAGCACCATTTTCTCTCATCTGAACAATGTTACCAAGTCCCTTTAACATACTACATGATAATCATTTGAAACTTCCTACTTGACCAAGTATTTCTACAGATTCATGCTAAATTCTATAACCTTTCTTTGCCTTATGTAAAATAGTACCTTTAGAGAATACATTGAATTAATGAGGAAAAGCTTTTCCATATTTATATTTACCCTAATAAAGGGATCCCAAATTGTACCTATACATTTAGTAAAGGATTTTACTGTGAATTTTGTTGCAATTTCTTTTGATTAACATGGATATTAGGATTGAAGAATAATGTAAAATGAAGCAAGACTTATTTTTAGCCCATTAAGAATATATTATAAGATTTATGAATGTAGCCACCAAGAGAATATAATCAAATACAGCTTTTTCTTATAATACAAATTTATATGGACCTCTATTATACCCAAAAATAACATAATACAGTGTATTCATTTGCCACAATCACACACATTTGTTTTCTTTTGCTTTTTAAGTTCCCAAAACTCCAAATAAGATACTTACATGTACCGGTATATTATCTTTACAGATAGAAGGAAGAATTTACACAAATATAATGAAAGCCCAAGACAGTCCACATAAATGAAGGCTGCTGCTCTTCATAAACAAACATTGATCAAAAAGACGTGGGGCAGAGGCAATATGCCCTTCAAACTCCTGAAACAAAGCCACCATACATGAAAAGAACCACTATAAAATAATTTTTTCAATTCAACAGACTGCAATGCAAGAAATATTCAAACACAAAAAGTTTGAAATACATGTAACCCCCTAAAAGACACATTGAAACTTAAAAGAAAAAACAATGGGAAGTTACTGAAAGTACATTATTATATCTGATTCATGTAGAATGAAAAGAATACATCATCATGATCATTTTTATCATGTGAGGAACAAAAGCGTTAAGAAAAGAAAAAAGATACATTTTTTTGCTCTATCTTGTATTTCTTATCTTGTCATGGGACATCATAAGGTAATTATTTGGAAATTTTAAAAAGTAATTTAGTCACCACCAAATTTGGCTGTCTATGTATTCTAGTAACAACTCAGGCATTGATCCAGAACGACCAAACTCCCCTTTCTATTGGGCAGACACATGGTGTACTTCAATTTGGTTACAAATCTTAGTTATGCATATTCATGATGATTAAAGGTAAAGACCAGTTATGGTCATGCGATTGCATTGTGAAAGAAACGTTGTGGAATCGATCAGAAAAGGTTGATCATCTAGCATCTAGCATCTGCAAGGTTCTGGAATCATCAAAATGATAAGAAATTTGGCCCATTCTTCGTAAAGTTACAAGCACTATACACAGAAAGATGTATATGGGACTACCCTATATCTCTCACAGACCATGAGAGAAACAAATTTACCAAATATATGAATTAGTAGGCGGTTTCACAGCAAATTTTTTATCATCATGTATTAGTCAAAACATATTCTTTCACATGATTGGTAATGAGAGCTTCCATTTCATTTTTTGAAATTGGGGCGTTTCCAATACTGGTCTTTACCTTTAATATGCAACGTGTGTGCATGTACAATCAAATTGGTGAGTAGGAGTTCAGTATTAAAGCACTAAGCATGGTAAACTTCTTATAATTTGTTGTAATATTTAGATTTTCATGAGTTTCTTGTGTGACTATAAAAGGCAGAGGATGACTATGAACATGATAGTGTAGTGTAATAACATATGGTAAAATCACATTCCTGTTCTGTGCTAGATTGAAACCAAGAAAATACCTCTTAAAAAAAAAAACTCCATCTCTATCTCCACAAACTAGGTTGTAATCTCTGCATAGAGTAAATTAGCCTTGGTTAGCCATGATGATTCATTGAATTCCTCGAAGTATTTATTCCTGGGCCCCGTCTTGCGAAGAGTTGCGCTTGATCCAAATCAATCGCAAGTTTGCGGTCTCATATCTCTTACGTACATAGTTGCTATCAATCGCAAATGAGTTGTGATTGATATCAACTCTTTGTAAGACGGGGCCAAGATCATTTTGTGCTCTCCACGAAAGATGAATACGACGTCTTGGTGAGTCAGTGAATAAGATAATTAGTTGTTCATCTTCAAAATTCTCAGCAAGGAGAGCAGTGTGAATGATCCTATGATTTGGGAAAGTTCTTTTTCGTCTCTTGACGGTAGCCATTTTTCGGGTCGATGGTTTATGAGCAGTCTGTGTAGGTAGTGATCGTATTACCCACTCTTTGCGTCACCGTCCTGCAACTCCTACCACTGCTACCTATTGAGAAAAAAAAAAGAGAAGACAGATCAATAGAAATTGGTATTTATAGAAGACTACCGTAAATATATATTTGCTTTATATCCATCAATGCTATGTAAACATAAGGGGAAATAAATCCATAGAATAGAGTAACAGCTGGCACTAGATGTATGGACAAGGTTTTTTAAAGGTAGAGACCAGTACCGTATTAGTAAATGAACTAAAAATGATTTGTAATTTTATAACTGTGCAGAAGATTATCTTGATATATTTGATGTGGAGCTACATGTAGAAACAATTTCTGACTGGGTCCAAGCTGTTTTTCTTTACAATGCTTTTTTGTTTTTATACTGTATTTAACTATAAGTTCTGTTACAATTTGTATGGTTTTGAAGACTTATCCAGTAGCAATGGACAATTTATACCTATAATAGAAAGTTCCTTTGGATTACAAATTGCACAACTATCCCATGTACTCAGCAGGACCTTAATGGTTGTTAGGGCAACACCACCATGGTACCTAGAAACATAGTATTATGCGCGTTAAAAATCCATCTTATTATCATTAGTACTTGGCATGTTTACAAGAAGTCTACTTCAACAGCAAATATCATACAGCACATGTGCAGGTGTTCTCCCACTATATGAGCTTGTATGACACTATGAACATCACAGACAAAGAAAGCAGACAAAATATACAGTTCCTCAGGTAGACAAAGGAACATCCCTTCACTGCTATTATGTAAAAAGGTGAATATGCATGTGACACCTGTTCTACACATTTTTACCTAATAGCAGAGAAGGGATGTTCCTTCGTCTACCTGAGGAACTGTATATTTTGTCCGCTTTCTTTGTCAGTCATGTTCATAGTTTGAGTTGCATCATCTAGAAATTTACACCATTAATACTTTGCAAATAAATTAATGTAGGCAGTGTGTAGAAATTTAGGATGTCAATTATTAATACCTAGTACAAAGAATATCATACACGTATGTCTGATTGCTAGTTTTATTCTTTGAAGTAATTTATAGAATGAGGTGATCGCAACTAACAAGCCTTGGGACCTTATGAGCGGAGGAAGCATACCAATAATATCCTACACCTCTCTTTTTTCTTCTTCTAAATATGGCTTGCTGACATGCAGAACTAAGCAGAAGGCACAACAATCTACATATTCAAAGAGCTGTACATACTAAAAAGTGTTCTACTGGGGTTGCCTTTATTTTACTTTAATCTAACCCTATTTCATGCATTTTATTGACTTCCAACACCATGTAATCAATTCTATTCAGTAATCGTTCTTTAGATAATAAGTTGAGGGTAGGATTACATGTGCTTCATTTCCACTTCAACAAACCAGCTTTCTACACGTCACACTTTTTATGGACGTCAAATCAAATTTTAACAATTAAATTTGGTAATATTGACTGTCCTGTTAATAAGTTGAGGGTAGGCTTACATGTGTTTCATTTGATCATTTCAACTTGCAAAAACTGGATAGGTTTTTCAGTCTACCATCAAACAAGCTTAACACAAGTCATGTATGTATGTCACATGACGATTTATTCTGATCCTCCTTCGCGTTTTGCTAATAAGTTGAGGGTAGGGGATACGTGTGTTTCATTTCTATCAATTTTTTTCTCCCGCAGTCCATCAACAAATCAGCTTTATACACGTCACTTTTTATAATTATGGTACTGATTGTCATTCTGCTCATAAGTTGAGGGTTGACCTCGGGTGTTTCATTTCCACTTCAATAACTGAAAAGTCTACCATCAAACCAGCTTTACACACGTCATAGTTTCTATGCATGTCACATCAAGTTTTGGTACCGATCGTCTCTCAAGATTATAAGTTGCAGGTAGCCAAGCCTAAATGTTCATTTCTCTTCGGTCCAACAACAAACCAGCTTAAAACACATCATATCATCTATGCACATTACATCAGCTGTTCTAATTTGGGTGATAACTGTCATTGCCTCAGAGAAATATTTTAACTGTAGAGTAGACCTACAACAAACCAAGGTTATCACGTGTTTTAAAAGACCAGCAACATCATAAAAATTTACCCTGAATTATGTTATGGAATTATGTTGCATGAGAAACATAACTAATTATTTACACATCTAAACATGGACATTTTACTATATCTATCCTAGTCAAATCTTGCGAGTGAACTGGCTTCATAATGTTCAATATTCAACACTACTTTAAATAATCCTCTATTAACTATTCTCAGTTCTGACCCATTATGCATTATTAGACATGCAGCAAAGAATATTTTGAATCATTTGGGCTTACAACTTTCTAAGTACTTGAGGCTGCCTAACTACAATATAACCATCACCTTGAAAAAAATGTGACATTAATTGCTAATTCTCAACTAGAATCCTTACAACACCCTTTACCATCTACAATATGGGTGTATTTGTTATCTATCTATCTTGGAGCAAAATAGTTTTTATTAAATGGAGACCAGCTAGGACAGTACCAATGAAAACAATTGTCTTGATACCTGTAATGGACCACATACATGCATTGTAAGTCCTCATGGAGGAAAGAAAAAAGAAAGAAAAGAAAAGAAATCCTTATCATCAAACCATAGGTTTATAGCAGAAGTCAGGGAATAATTTTCCTGGTATCGCATCGCAATTTGCTATGCATTTTTGCATGACTGCTATACAAAATATCTTTTGTGTAGCAGTTTTCTTCCATAGAAATGTACAGAAATTCATTTGAAATATTTATCCATCGGCTGAAATTGCTAATCAAAAAATTTGAGGAAAATTATTGCCTGGAAGTTGTTTGGGAGCTAAACATGTTAATTATTTTGGCTCAAGATCAAGCTGGTATAAAAATAAAAATCATTGCTGTGACCAAATTGCAAAGCACCGTCTCTACTTCAGGTTGTTTTGATTTCTCACAAACTATGCTTATTTTCAATCAAGGGCACATAATTGATCCTTTTTATTTTATTCTGAGTATTTCCTTAATTTTAGACAATGAAAATCAATATAACCATGTCATTATTTTTAATCTTATGTTTACAAAAAGCTTTAAGTCACAACTTTTTTTTCTTCTGTAAAATGAAAAACAGTTTGTTCAGTGAAAAACAGTTTGTTCAGTGCAAAACTCCATCTTAAACTGCTTGGAAATCATGTAAGTTTCAGGTTTTTTTATTTTTCATTCAGGGTGTTAGCATTTTAAATCTTTTCGTATTCTTAATGCTTTTCAGAACCAAGCTGACATGGGGCAAAATGCCTAAATTACCAATAAATTCCATTTTTGAGAGGAAAATCTTTGGCAATTACAAACATCACAGTATCTTCACCATTTAGGTACTGTCCAAACTAGTACTGGAAAAGTATGAAAGAGTTGCTTTAAAAACATGGTAAATTGGTAAGTAAACCTTTTTAAAGATCCAAGAAAATCAGGAGATATTATTCACTACAAACAAAGCATAGCATTCATTCAGGCGCATAAAGTAAAACTTTAAAAGACCTTTATGGCTGTGAGCAGTGTGAGACATGTGGGCTGTTCTCACTGTTTGGGTGACTGTAGCACTTCTTCTCTTGGCTATATTCCATGTGTTAATGAAAGATGAAAGCAACATTCAAGTGTGCAAATAATATGTTTTAAACATCACATCTGGGTAGAGTTAATTTTATTAAATTCTATAAAACAAAATTGGCATTCCTGAATCTATTAACATTCATTTTCCCGGTTATAGGACAGCTACCCCCAAGAACAATACCGTACCTCCCTAAAATGGCCCACTTGGACAATCAGCCCCCACCCGACCACAAAATCAGCTTTTATTTAAAAAAATTATTATCAGGGTGGATTTCCCCTTTAATGAACAAGGGGGTAATTGTCCTCAGGGGTGGTTGTCTTTTGAGTGTAATTTTCCAGGGCGTGATTGTCCAGGGGGTAATTATCCCGATACACATTTTCCCTTGTTCAAATTATTGTTGGTACATGTATTTTACAAATAATCTGAACTGTAAGCTACATTACAATGTACATATATTTAATTGTACATCTATCAAATAGACCAAATGTGCTACAATGTATAAAAGCATTGATGCATCACACTCTATAAAACAAAACAAAATTAAAAACATCATTACAAATTATCATTTATACTATCCATAGCTGTGAATAAACTATTTTACAGATTCAACAATATAAATACAGGCAAGCATCACAGCACATTGATGCTAGAAAGTTTTATTATAATTATATCCTTTCACAAAAGCAATTATTTGATTGGGTGTTCAGATCTTTCTGAAAGATCAACCAGTTTTTGGATATTACCGAGTGCTCTTTACTTGAGAATTATAATCTTTTGTCCTGATTCTTACCTGCTTCATGTCTTGCATCATGCCTTGCTTGAAATGATGTTTTTTGCTGCAAAGGAAATAAAAATTAAATATCAGCTTGAGAATGATACAGATTCATTTTATCCTACAGTCATAAAAACACATCACTAATAATAACAATCTATACATGTATTGATTAATCTATGGACACATTTACATGAGCAATATTACATAGCAATCCTAATGCCTACATGATAATATTTTAACTTATTCGGGTTTGGATATAAAAAAACATAAGATTTGGGTCTACTGTACTGCTGTATAGAGATGTCATGGTTAGACATTTAACAAATACAAATAATGCTGTAGTGGGGTGGAGAGTGAAGACAAGGGACTTGTACAGAAATTATCTTGCACTATAGCAGAAATAGACTCATGGAACACTTGTCTTCAGTCTAAATACATGTATGAAAATAATTGGTGCAATTTCAACATTTAAAGTAGATATAGAGTTTTTTTTCTTCGCCTGTTTGTTGTGTATTTTCTTAAAATCATCTCCATGCAATATATTTTGGTGCAATACCAGAAAGGGGCTGGTACAGCTAGAGATATTTCCTTAAAGAATTCTGTTTTAAATCAAAGCCCTTTAAAACTTACCGAAAAATGCCCATTTCCAAAATGTCCATTTGCAAAGGCCGAGTCGAAGCCACCAAAACCGTGATCCTTGAAGCCACCAAAGCCATCAAAACCACCCATGTTGGCAAACATTTTATCGTCATCAAAGTCATTCCAGAAAGAGTCAAAGTCAAAGTCAAAGTTCCCAAACTTCTGCTTGTGACCTCTTTTGTGACTCTCTCGACTTTTCCTTTGATGGAAGCTGCTATCAAAACCACGGTAGAATTCTTTGAAATTGAAGTTCGGTCTACCACCACCTCCACCGCCGCCGCCACCGCCGCCACCACCCCTGGCTCCCTGGTTCTCATAGGCATTTGCTCCTAATCTGTCATACTGTTTCCTTTTGTCTTCATCTGACAGGACTTCATATGCTGAAAATGGATAGACAAATATAAAATAGATGTAGACAGTCACTCTAGTAGACACATACAAAACCCCAGAAATTTAAATTTGCTCCAAGTGATACAGGTAAAGAATCTGGTGATATTAAGCACGCATTTTTTCTGTCCCTCTTTTCTCTCTTAGTCCAGCTACATAAAAAATTAACTAATAAAAAGAAAAATTAAAAAAGAGAAATTTCATTTTCTCCAGGTGATTTGAGTATTAAACATGGTGAGTTTAAACAGACAATTTCTCTCTCCCTCTTTCTATTCCTTTTTCTCTCTACAGCTTTACACAAAATTTGGTAAAAAATTGGATAACCTAGTAAAACTTGACCAACACTAGTTTTTATCACTACCCTCTCAAAAACTGATCATATGAAATCTTTTAAAATGCAAAAGCTGAATATGAAATGAAATACACACAGAAACGATTACTCCATGCCACTAAAAATCTCCATGGGGTCGATCTAAAAAAAGGCTCCACAATAGCTTTTTGCCACAAGGTTATATTTCAACATATTGGGAATCTTTTTGCATGTTAGGGGTGAGCATCACATTTTCAAGGGGTAGTGTTGAGCCTAGCCAAACCTGCAGGTTGCTACTGGTCAAACAATGAGCAAAATTTCTCGATAGGGCACAGATTTGCGCAAAAGCAAAAATGGCATACCCTTGCTAAATAAAGCAGCCTTTTCTGTATTGCTTTAATAAATCACAATCCTGATTCTTAAAGGGATCGTTTAACAATGTTAAATCTGAGATACACGGCCCTACGTGTTATCAGAGCTTTAATATGGTGTAATATTGAAGCCCTAAAAAAAATGCGCTTCAAAATGATCAAGAAGTGCCTCAAAAAAGTAAAAATCTTTGAGTGACCGGTTTTACCATACTCGTTTTCCCCAATAGACTGTAGTGTTATGAAAACCGTCAGGCGAACGGTTTTCAAAATTTGTAATTCCAATCATAAAAATCTTGATAATCAGACAGGCGATCGGCTTGTAAAAGTCATGGGGTTCCATGACTGACCTAAAGGTTTATAATTATCATTGCATCATGAGCTAAATCCAGAATTTTGTTTCAGAATCTGAGACAAAGTTACCGGATCCCTTTAAACCAGGGCTCTACATCAACTCCTTTGACAGGGGTCTTGATTACAATGTCAAGGCCTGCATGCAACAGTGCTGTTTGAATTCTAAAAGTTTATAAGTCCAGGGGGGTGCTTCACAAAGATCCTAAGTTAAACTTATCTCTAAGTTGGCCTTAACAATTATGGAAAGCTGTTAGATCTATGAAAATATTTTGCAAAAGTTATTTTAAAAGGCATAAAATGTTGAGATTAAGGAGATTTCATGTTCTTGATGTGGAATTTAAGCAAGGGAGGGGATGTGAATGGATCCGTTCCTCACTAATTCTCATAACCAATAGTTACCTTTAGCTATCTCCATGAACTTCTCCTCTGCATCAGGTTCCTTGTTCTTGTCTGGATGGTAGAGAATGGCCAGCTTCCGGAAGGCTTTCTTGATCTCTCCTTGGGACGCACTTCTATCCACTCCCAGGATGGCGTAGTAATCCTTGGTAGCACTCTGCACGTAGTCCAATAGCATAAACGCTAGGACACCCACAGCCGCCAGGTGGCAGCAATTCTGACACCTCATGGTCTGGTCCAACTCGATGACGTACTTCCTTGCAAGGTATACTTTGATTCCTGTTGAATAAAAGAGAAAAAATAAGGTCAATAAATAAACAACTTAAAGAATAAACAAATAGATAAATAATAAATAACACAATATGCAAATCAATGCATAAATAGACATAGACCCCCAAAAGAGCGAGCATTTTCAAATTGACATAAATGTACATGTATATACTATATAGACCATCTTTCGGTAGTGTGACTTACAGCGACTATATTTCACGCATGAACAAAGTTCATGGATGGCCTTTATTTTAAATTATCTTGAAAGGAATATATCACAATTCTCTTTCTGCTTCTATCAAAACCATCTTAATATCAGGATGGACTTTTATATGTTTTACCAGTAAGGGGCTGGTCCGAGAATAAGGATCGCAATCTGATCGTCCGCATAAACAAGGATTGTCTTTGTAAACACAGTCCCCCAAGTCCCCCAAAATAAGGAGTCAGGGGTAAAAAATGGATACGAAGGTATACTAGCGCCACATAACGGCATATAGGTTATGACCATTATTTGAACAATTGAACAATTGATAGAGTTTTAATTGATTTTTGGATAGTTTTAGTAGGCTATCTCCACGCCGGAGTTGCGGCTCAAAAATTGATACGAAGTCGATAGTACACTATGAAGGGGTGACCAAAGTTCGCGGACATTTTAGAACATATTACAAAATGTGATATTCGATCTATGATTTCTCTAGACCGAAAGCTTCAGTCTCTATACCGTCGGTTGTTCCACTGAGACTACGTCTGGCTCCACTAGACCTCCGGTTATAGAGACTGAACGATCGCCTATGCCAGCCTATGTTGAAGATATCACGGCTGTGATAACGCCATTACGAACGTGTAGATGGGGCACAGTTTTTCCTTCATAATCATTTTGCCTTCAGCGTAGACTAGAAGGGATGAGATTGACGGCAGCGAGAGTTTAACACGGCTTGCAAGATTTTCAACATGGATGTCGATTTTGACCCATAATTTCCTTAAAAGGGACCATTAAACGGAATATTTCAATCAAGTTAGTAAGTGGAACCGATGTATTATAGCCTAGGCCTAATGTAAAATTGGATATGCACGAGGTAAAATGACATTTTGGGGGATTTTGGGGGCATAACAATACGGCCGTGGCAAGTTTGTTCATGTTTGTGGGAGGGGCCTAACGGCTAAAATCTAGCCGTGATATCTTCAACATAGGCTGGCATAGGCGATCGTTCTGTCTCTATAACCGGAGGTCTAGTGAAGCCAGACGTAGTCTCAGTGGAACAACCGACGGTATAGAGACTGAAGCTTTCGGTCTATGATTTCTCATATTCTAGGCCTAAACAAATTCATTTATTTCAACTATTACCAAATGGACGGCAAAGTTTTTAACTACAGATTGGTTCAACTAGAAAAATTTACCGTCGAATGATTTCGGAGATATCGCGATCTTAAAATTCGATGTCCGATCGTGCGTGCGCGCTACATCAAAAAAAGTAATAAAAACAACGAGACCTAACTTCACGCACGGGGGTTAACAGTTAATTTATCAGAAAAAGCGATCCATCACAAATAAGGTAATATCCTAATTTGCAAGGCAAGATATCATACAATCAGTTGGTACCACTTTTTACTTACAATTTTGAGGAAATCTGCTCTCAAATTGAAGATTTTCAGACCCTTATCGGTAAGTTGATAATTTTTCGGGACAGACGCAAAAGATTGCAAAATGTGCCGACCTTTTGTCAATAATTTCACAATTTCGTACCCAATTCCAAAGAAAATTTCATCATTGGGTAATTTTATGTTCCTCTTCCCATTGGTGATATCAGATTTTCGAAATCTTACTGATTTTTTGAGATAGCGAACTTCGGTCACGCGCGAACTTTGGTCACACCACCATACTAGCTACTAGCGCCCTACAAAGTGTTAAGTATACGGGACTGAGGTCACTTACTGACACGACGACGTTGATCGTTCGAAGCAACCCTCCTAAGCAAACTGTGTGGTAAAAATTACCTCACTTTATCCTGCTTGGTTTGAAGACGCGGGTGATTTCAACTAAGCCTTGGCTGTAGTCATGGTAGTACAATTAAAAGTGTGAACCGCTACAGCTTTTTCCATTGATTTGATTTTAAGATGATGTACAGAAGTCAGATTCACAGCTGATCATGTACGCATACGTAGATAAGGCTACGTAATGCATATCGATTCGCGATTTTGGGACATCAACTCTTAGGAAAATTACCAGTCGTTTTAATATTTATTAATGGTTTGGTTACGTTTAAGAGTACCTCAACGACTGGACTGATGAGTAACGTATCGAGTTGACTGACGGGGACTGTTTTGATTGGTCAAAAGTGCAGCGCGATGTTCGAGCACGGGTGCTAAACAAAACAAATCATACCGGTGTGGAGTTTTACTCAAAATGATTAATATAATATATATATATATAATTATGTATGGGATATATGGTACACTGGCTTACTGATGGGGGGGGGGGGGGGGGGGGAGGCTATTGACCCCCGAAATAGAATTTAAATGTTGTTTATTTCTAATTCGATACCAGTGATTTACAAATGTTGCTGAAATGACATGGTGGGGAGGGGGGGGGGGGGGGGGGGCACACTGTGCTCCCAATTTTTCAATTTTCAATTTTTTCCCCTAAAACTCGCTCGTTACGCTCGCTTGCATTTATAGATGTTTTAATTATGTTACTTATAAAAGAACTTTTCAGTCTTTCTTAATTTGATTTTGCTTAATACTCATTAGGTTTTTTTTTTTTTCTTCTTTTTAAGATGTAATTTTTTGCACTGGAACCTCAAAAATCTTAAATTTTGTGCGCGCTCGCTTCGCTAGCTCGCAAATTAATTAAGGGGTACCCTGTACCACGTAAAGAAAGAAACACATATTGATGTCATCTCTGGTAGTGTAAATACAATCATGACAATGTAGGGGTAATAATATTAATTATTAATTATATAGGCCTACCAATGTCTAAAAATGGTGTATGTTTTTTAATGTTTCCCTTTGTAGGTGCCCCTTTTTAGTTGGTGCCCCCCCCCCTATTTTGGAATGTTTTTAAATGTTTTTAAATGTTTCCCTTTGTAGGTGCCCCTTTTTAGTTGGTGCCCCCCCCCCTATTTTGGAAGAGGCTCCACCGCCCCTGCATTATGCTACTTGGTGATGATGCGGTTTTTGTTCTGACCCAAAAAAAGTTTTTACTCATTACGCCACATGATCTACATAGGATTATAGAGGATTATGTCATATATATATATACACATGTATATAATATGTGTGTATAAGGAAAGAGAACCCATTTGCGTTGCTATTTCATTTTCATCGTTGCTCCTTTCTGCTTTCTTTTGTTGGATTAATTGCAAAGGTTGCATAAACTGTCCCGGAAACCGAGCCCGGCTCTGTACGCCAAATAACACACAATGTCATTTCATTTCATTTCATGTATTCATTTATTCATTCAATATTATTCTGAATGCATGATTAAAGCAGTATAATTAAAAAATATAATGAAGAAATATAAATTTATTCTAAACAGAACTGGCCAGGGCTCCAAGATAAATGAAGATTGATACATTGTGAGCCCTGACAATATTATTGAAATACAAGAAAGAAAGAAGAAGAAATGGGGGGGGGGGGCACAATATATACTTGTACATGTATTTCAAATTGAGTTAATGTTTTTGATAAGCTGCCCTACAATTTTGTTTAGGAAGTTCTTATTATTATTAAATCATTCATTTATTGCAACCATAAGTTGGATTTCATACAGTAAAAAAGGCAGGCATATAAATGGTTCACAATATAGTTATATGTATATATACTTTGTACAATAAAACTGTATAAATTGACACTTTAAATACATAGATATGAAAAGAAGAAGAAAAAAAAACACTCAAGAGCAATCGCATTTAAACATAATTAAAAGGTACATAGGACTTCACAGGACCAATAATCATATATCAACTGACATCAACGTATTGTCCAACAATTAAAATTGAGAAAGATTTTGAAAGAAAGAGAGAGACAGTAAACCCAAATTGAGTGGTGGTATAATGCATTATCCGTATTAAAAATATATATATATATATCCAGTCAAATTCAATTGGTATTAAATTTGTTCTCTTTTTCTTTCTTTCGTCGCGACCGCGTGCCGAACAATATGTTATGTGCTGTCAGTAAAATATGATTTCCATAATTTTTTTGTTGGTTTATTTACGTTTTCATGATCAAAACAGTATGTCCATCACGCAATAAATTGTTATAACCCAGAATTAGTGAATACGTTGGATTCACAACTGGCATGTCCTCTAGCGACACCAGTCTATAGTCGGGGCAAAAATCGAAAAAATATCAACTGTGAAATCGTTGTATACACAAGAATATAAGGGGATTTATTCATAATTTTTGGTGGGAAAGGTTTGCATAAATTATCCAGGTAAGATTTTGCGCTGATTGACCCAACTCAAACTGTTTTGGTCATTTGGTCACTCAACCCAGGTGATGTAAATGGGTACCTGGCCGCTTTAATCCTTGAAATGCTAGAGCACCGTAATGGTAGCCGCGCTAATTAAGCTAGGGTAATAATCGGAAGCGCCAGGAGTGTCAAATCTGACAGACATAAGCGCTATACAAGAACCCACTATTATTATTATTATTATTTCGGCCAATTTTTTGGCCAAAACTGACTATTATGTTCACTTTGGTCAGGGATAATTTCTTTAATCGTTATTATCATCAAAGGAGATTTAATGGGAATATTTCATGTAAAGATGTGCCCTGATGCTATAGAAAAGAAATGTCGAATGGAGGAATGGACCCCCATCAGAACAAATATGGTCAATTCGGTCACTTTTTTGGCAAAAATTACCATGTGTATTTATTTTTTTGTCCAGAATCAGGCTAAATTTCGGCAGACAGAATAATTTGATGCGTGGGTTTTGACAACTAAATCAAATATGAAAATGCGCGCTGAACAGAACAATCGATCGCATTGAATTAATTTCCACAGTCAGTTTGGACCGCTTTAGTCACTTCGATCGGTGGCTATGGTTTTGCTGCGCTGCACTGGTTTAAAGATGTCGACCCGCGAGCTGTGACGGAAGGCAGGTGAGGGCGCTGTTAGTTGTGAGGACATACTGTGTATGATCGAATCTCTTTGGTGAATCCATCATAATTTATACACTGGCGTAGCTAGACTTATTGAACAAGGGGTTGTCACAAAATCAAAGAGTCATACTTTATTTGTCTATGAATAACACACACATGCACGCGCACCCACGCACACATACTAGTTACGTATAATATTTCCACAAGTTTAAACTTGCACATTAGCCAAACTAATGTGTAAATAGACATTTTGAAAGAAGGTGGTGCCAATCCGCCTTCAATAGCTAGGCCGATTGGCGAGTTTGACTCATCTACAATGATATTAAAAGCAGAACATGATCGCAAATTGTTTATCGTTTTACGATATTTATAGAATGACATTGACAATGCCGATGATAATTTATTTGTGGGTGTTGTTTAAGGGCTCAAAGTCCATTCACATGCACAATACAAAGGTTCCAGATCAATCATAGAGTCAATAAATTACTGAACTGAACAGTATGAAAGTTAAAGGTTCCAGTGACTTTGTATGATCTTTTGGTACTACGCACGTGATCCCTCTTTGGTCTATTTCAAAGAAGCAAACGATTATGATTGTTATTTGTTTATTCATCTATATGTCTTTCTATTTTTTGTTTTGGGGGGGGGGGGGGGGAGGGGATGTACTCTGACATACGACATAATTATGCTCAGGTATTATTTTCGTAAAAGATATAGGATTAGGGATAGGATCGCAACTGGGTCCAGGGTTGTTTAGTTAGGAATACGGTTTGTGTACAGGAGACAGTCGAGGTACTTTTCGCCGGAACATGCGAGGTGCTGCCCCACATACCAAGTGTAATTAGGGAGATAAAATAATCGCCAAAATAATGTGTAGGCCTATTGAACTACATAATTATCTGAAGTACCGGTATATACGGCACCACAGCATGTAAATTAATATAAAAATTATCAATTTGAGTTGAAGCAGTACATGATTATGTTGTTGATCCAATTCTCACCACTGTCAGTGAATTGTACCATGTACCAACACGCCGACCCTCGATTGAAAATATTCTAGCAACACCCTGACATTAACTATAAGTACCCAGTCAAGCGTATATTGATATTGTTATACCACAATTACGCCTGCACAGATATAGCATAATAACCTAGATAACATGAAAAGACGATGCTTTGTCGTGAGGCAAACACTATAATGATATTTTTGTAACCACCACGCCAGACTATCATAAACTCGTTGCAGCAGAGCGAATGACAAATTTCGATTTACATGATTTTACGTAGTCAATTGTTTCAAAATTTCTTCATTGCGCAACTCATCTTCGAGTCAAGAAGAACTACCGGATGCGCAAGGAGAGCCTATACCAGAACAAGAAGAAACTAAAGAGAGATTTAGAACGAAAACGGACGTCCAAGGACAAGGCCATTTGCTGCGGGAATGACAGATATCTGTGACTGCAGGTGCCGTTCAATCTGGCGCTATAATGCAACATTGATGCTTTGAGTCACTGAGACAACCAGTTCTTTTGTCCTGAAAGCAAAGATGGAAAAGTTGACTGTCGTTTTTGTGATTTTCTTAATCAGCACCATCGGACTACGGGCCATCAGAACCTTCAGTATACTCGGGGAAGAACTCCTCGTCAAGTTGGACACCGATGTCCGAACCATAGGAAATATTGTTCATCATCATCATGGATTCGCTACCGTTTTGGGTAGGTATATATCACTCGGCTGCCATTCATTAGAGTACGTAGACAAAGAAAGGGGGAAGTGCGGGATGGGGGGGGGGGGGGAGTGGAAGGGCGATTTCCCGTCCAGTGTTGAATTTATAGAAAATTGTTGGCAGTGTCAACACATTTTTTGTCGCCACATCAAATCGTATAGGCAATATTGTGAACCTATATTATTTCTGGATGATTCGTTAGCATACAGGACGGCTAATAATTAAGGGCGACTTAACGAGTTGAGATACTACGACGATGGCAGAGGTGCTTCTTAGGACTGGTGCCCTTCTAATGTATTCTTCTTAGCTTTACTTATATATGATATATCTCT